GTAGTAAAACTAAACACCAACAAGAACTGCATTACGAAATATTTCTAAATTCGTATCTCTTAAAGTAATCTATTTACTCCCTAAGTAACTCCCTATTATGGACTATTTTGCAATATATATATATATATATATATATATATATATATATAAGGTCCACAGCCATATAAACCACAGTGCATCTCATTTTTGGTTGTCCTTTATTGCTGAACAGGATTGCGGTTTTTGCAAACGTTGGCTACTGTTTAGTAAAAGATTCTATTTTCGATGCTTTAATCAAAATTGCCGTTTTGTTTATGAGATACAAAGCGAAATTGAAGGTATTGCATTTTGAAACACCTATTTTGGTATATTACCAGTATCTTGGTTATGTTTCAACCTATCGAACATGTAAAAAATGGTTTTATATGTTTTTTATATTAGTGAAATAAAGTGGCTTACCCAGTTTTTTGCTACGATTTTGCTACGATTTTACTACGACTTGGTTAATTATACGTAAGTAGTTTTTAGATTAAAATATCCGAAAGTTGGACAATCAATAACATTGCTTTTAACAGAAAACGGCCGAATTTCGTATGGTCGAAAACTAGGGGTTTATTTCATGTAACGTCATCCAAGTTCGTCCTTGATTTCACCAGTTTTCGTATTTTACCTGTTGTTTGTGTTATTTATTATTATATTATAAAGTTTATGTCGTTTGGGTCACTTGTTATATAGCACCGAACGAAGGTGCGAATCTTAATATCTACATTTATCCATATCTACATTCATCCATCACTACTGGTCCAAAACTACCCTTGATGCAAGTAGTTTAGCACCAAGACCGTTGGTCGGTAAATGTTTACGCTTGAATTCTAGGATGGCGAATGATTGGACTTTTTTAATTATCAGAATGAAATGAACTATCCATAATTTCTAAGAAATTAATTGCCAATTTTGTTAGGGGATCCATCAGGATGAAATTGCATTTGTTGCAATTTCATCATCATGAATGCAGTTGGCGTAGTTGAGGCAGTGCTGCCGCTTCTTTTGCTATGAATGTGTGGGGCTTCTTGGATACCACTTCCTTTAGTAGATAGAGACGCTGGAGCGGCATATTTCCATGGCCAGCTAGGTCATCGGATTCAATATGCCTAGGTTTTAATTTATGGGGCCAAATCAAGAACGAACATGGATAAATAATAACTAAATGGTATTAAAATGAAATTAAAATATATGTTTTGATATTTTGACTTAACCAATTATTCTCTTTTTGATTCCTAGCCTACTACTATAATTTTTAGATCATAATATAATCCTAAGCGGCAGGCTCTTTTCTTTTTTCAAAGCTCTTTTAAAAGAGCCCTAGTATGTTTAAATCGCATAACCTAAACCAGAGTTATCCTTATTTTAATAAAAGCAACCCAACCTTCCCCCACCACTTTATTTTATGAGATAGAGCAAAATACTCTATATCAAAAAAATTACAAATTTTTGGTTGATTACAATAGTAATATTTAAAATACCTATTCACCTGCATATTTTTGAGAAAAACCCTGTTTTCTGATTGGTTATTAGAGAAGCGCCCCCTAGCGGACATTTTTCGAACTTGAAAATAATTTCCAGCGATTTCTCTTGGTCGATTTACTTATTAGAATTTTTTTCCCAAAGTTATACGATAAGTAGTTTCTGAGATACAGCCGGCGTCCATTCTTAGTTGGCCGCCCGGTACTTGAACGCTTCGTGGTCCTCTCCGCTTGTACGCCCCATGTGGGCGACGCACTAAGAGTATAATGTCATGCGTTGTTGTGCAAATGTTTTTGGCGAAGTAGCATCTGCCACAACTCCGGTAGCTTCTCGTTTCACTTACGTGATAAATAGGACAACGCTCAACTTCGTCATCTCTCAGTTCAGCTACACTAATTAAAACATCTTTGAAGGTCATATTTTCAACAGAATGGAAACGATCTCGCAATGAATATCTATCTATAATACCATTTTTAAGTAATTTTATACAGAGGTAGTAGGAATGGTATCATTCTTGGGCGCTGAAGAGCATATGACAAATTTCGGAATATTTTCGTATTAACATATGTTAAGAATTTAATGCTCCATTATTTTCGTTGTATTTTTTTATTTAGAATAATGTTTTCCACATCGGACGACTGAATGTTACTGTAATGCATTTTTCAACAAAGTAGGTAAATCATTCTTCAACTGTCGATTTTAGCTATACTACTGAACCGAATTGAATGAGTGTACACTCGTTGTTCATTTGTTCTGTATGCCGATTCTGTCGTATACTTACAATGACAACATTACAACATAAATATAAAATTGAAATGTTTTCAATTAAGGAAATTAGACAAGGAAACAATAACCGATTGTATATTTTTACCCTAAAGATTTTATTTATTTACAAATGGCGTGTTGTTTTAATATGGAAAATGTGAACGTGTGTGTGGATTGACTTTTATTGTATTTGTCTGATGATGCTCTATGATGAAGAGAAACACGTGTCACTGTGTAACTTAGTATATACGTTGAGACCGAGACTTTGAGTCTTTTTTATTCTTCTTTCTATTTACAAATAGTCTACTAAATACTTGAGCCATTGAAATATTGCGGGTCAGTTTATTTAAATTGATGGCAATTGCATTTATCATTATGTTTAAATGTTTATAATATATCACTATGGTAGCGCTGAAGAAACAGATGTCATATTACAAGAGCAACTCAGTAGTACTCGAAATAAGTACTAACGAAGAACTTAAGGTACAGATTACAAACCGTTGTCAGCTATTTTGAATTGAAAAAGATATCCCGCATTATGGAATGTCGCAAATTTTTAATCGACTATCCGTCTTTTATCTTTAGTAGAAAAAGGTTGACAATCTTTAACGAAAAACATGGGGCAAATTAGACATCCTTACCTGGGGAGATCTAAGATCTACCTCACTAAATTGATGCCAAATACTGAAAACTTATTATCAAAGCAACATGTTTATGTCTATACTTTACACCTCTTTAAAAAGAGAAATCAAGATCATTAAAAAATATAAACATCAACAAATCTAAAAATATTTGTCATCAAGTTTCTAAATGTCACTTTTCATACATAAAACTTACCGCAGAATCTGAAAATGTTATAGCTAAATTGCCTCTAACGGAATTACTATATATAGTCTGAAATGTGTCCATATTTCTTAATTCACTATGTACTATACAGGGTGAGTTTCCTACGATGTTCTCTATGAATATCTCGGAAACTACTGAAGATAGAGAGTCTGTAAAATGGGGAAAGAATTGCAGTTTTGTGGGGTCATAAATATGTGCTTTTCAGACTTTTGAAAAAGTTCATGGCCAAATAGCCAAAAAACAAATTTTGTCAATTTCACCAGGTTTATGTCTGAAACCCATTAAAAATTGTTTATTTTTACTTATTTATTTTATGTACGAGTAATAGGTACCTATTTTTTATTGTTTTTCAATAATGAGGTTTGATCAAGGTTTGATCAATAATTATATAAAAAAATAATGTCGTCCCATTGCTGCTGAAAGTCACTAACTTACTTTTTATTACTTCCGAGAAAAATTCCTCTAAAGAAGAATTGCATTGCACAAAGATTAACATCTGCACAAAGATGTTATAGTTAGTAACTATTCGGTATTAAAATAAAACATAAATGGCCAAAAATCGTAGTTAATGACTTTTGCAATCGATTCTCCGATTCAAAACATAGTTAGTGATTGAATTTGGTTTTCTTTCTCAATATCTCACTACAGTGAGCTAAACTAAATCTCAAAATTCTCGGACAAGGGTTTATCCACTCACAAAAATTTAAAAACCTATTGAAGAACAGTTAATCGCCTTCAGTTTGTCCTTCCTGTGGAAAATTAACCACAATAACTCTTCGTCCTTCTTTCCTCTTACCTTACTAACAGCTAACAGTAACGGTGATCATTGTCAGAGATGATATATAAACTAAAACTAAACTAGTAGGTCCATGATTGGGTACGTAAGAACTTATTGTGGACCAGGTTTAGAACCAAACTTCACCCGGAAGACTGAAGAAGTATTCTTCAACCTTTTATAATAATACAGGGTATTATTAAATTTATTTTATATTTTAGAGTTAAAGTTTTATATTTTAGAGTTCTAAGTTTGGCGTAGAATTTTGAGCATACTGTATGATTTAAGACTCGATTTAAGATTACAATATTTATAGCAAAGTAAGTACAGACCATCTAACGTAAATGCATAATATAGTTTTGATTTCAGGAAAGTTCTTGCATTTTTAATATTTCTTTTTCAAAGGCTGCAAAATATATATTTTTTATTTATTTATTAATATATGTGAAACTATCGAAATATATCGACTCACATCTTAAGATTATGTAAAGTGATCTGAAAGGAAGGTTCCATTTAAAAAAAAGGCATCCCGATCCACTCACACTTTTTGAGCCACCCTGTATGAGTAGAAGTTAAAATAGTTTCCTGAAATACATCCTAGTACATACTTTAGGTTAGCAAAAGTTCCAAGCTTTTTATTCCAGGAGTTACATATGCCCGACACACTATTGCCGGACCCTGTATACTTACCTACCCTACGAACGTACCTACCATTGAGTACCTACTTTTATATTCAATATGGGAACAGGTCGACATACTTGGTAGATTGAATACTCTTAGTATACTGAGGTACTCGATATATTATATATAAATCACTGAATACAATAATGGTATTATTAATTATTAGTATTACAATGAAACAGAAACTTTGAATGCTTTATTTATACTCAAAATACCTGGAAAGGGGAAAAAGATAGATATTTTCAAATATCTTTTTTAGTTTACATTTAATTTGTACAATAATTACTATTGTACAGAACAGTTCTGTAATTTTGTACAGTTTTTTGAAAACAAGAAATTGTTTTACCGCCTGCACAAATAAATCGTTTATGAAAATGAAGATATATCTAAGATTCCCTTAAGTGGGCATCATTAAGAAAAGAAAATAGTATAAATACTCAACAAATAGTGCATTTATTACGGTACGTAAAATGAAAATGGTAGCATAGGTATTACATAACAAAAGTTGTTTGATTATTTGCAACTCAGTTTTCATTTAATTCTGTTATCCATGACTCTACAGTTGATTTATACCTCTCTAACCATCTTATATTATTTTCTACAGTTTCTAACGCAGTCTTTCTGGATGAAGCTCCGGCACCAGCATCAGGATATTGGTTGAAAAAGGCTTGCATCTGAAATATTTATATAAATAAAGAACATACGTCAAATTATGGTAAATAATACTAAATAAATAAAATTAAAGGGGAGTTTATTTATCAAAATTAGCGGGAGCACAAAGGTGTTTTAATATGGCTGACTTGAATTTTCGGCATTTCATTAGACCAAGATCTGGCGGCTACAAAGGTAATATGATATTAGCTCCGGTTGGAATTTTGAGAATTGGTTGGGGGGACGGTCAAGAAGTTCCATCTGCAAGGATTTTACCTAGGGTTGCCAACTTTCAAAATAAAAAATAGAGGACGAGAGGGTAAAAAAGAGACACAGGCAAAACATTTTTTGAGATCTCGCCCAAATGTCTGGCATTTATCAAAAAGTTATGCCAACGGTATGCGATTGATGACTCGGAACTTGTTAAAATAAACAAACCATTTTCAACAAAACTTTTTTTCAAAACATAAGCTAACAGTAAACATAAAATAGTTAAACATGTTTATCGCTTCCATAAATATCTCTTGCACATAAATATTATTTCTTAATTTCCTTTTCTGGACAAATGAGTGGGAGTAGCGAAAGACACAGATTATATAAAAAAGTTAATAGCATTGTATATAAAAAAGAGGACTTTTTCAATACGTGAGAGAAAAGAGGCCTGTCCTCTGGAATAGAGGACGGTTGGCAACCCTAATTTTGCCCAAAACCTCTGCAAAGGGCACATCAGTCAAATCAGAACTTCGCAGCGGTATTTTCGTCTGACGATATAAAATGTGCTTAAAATGCTTCTGTGTTGCACATGTTAAAACGTCAGACGGAGGTAAAAACATTTTTTTTGAAGAAAAAAAGTTTGATCTAGACATCTGATGATTTTCACGCGTCATATGTGAGCTTTAAGCCGATAACAACACATTTTCAGCCGGAGGTAAGAAAATTTTTTGAGGAAGTATTTTTTTACCATTGACTCGTCTGGCGTGCTCTTTGAGCAAAATCCTTGCAGATGGCACTTCTTGACCGCCCCGAAACAAATTCTCAAAATTTCAGCGGTCGCCAGTTCTCTGTCTATATTTTTTATACGTATTAAAATATAAAATAGGATCAACTATACAATTTACCGGTTTGTTTTACGCTGAATCAATAAATGTAAATTGTTATTATATTTGTTGAACAAGATATTATATTTCTAATAAAAATAAGTTATGATACCTAATAATTTTTTTAATAACAACACACAGGTACGTCTATGAGAGAACTAAGTAAAATTCATAAAATTGACTATTCCAATTATTTTTGACAAGTATAGGAGTAGTAGAATTTTATATTTGATTGGAGTTACTATTCGTATCATATATGTTATACCGGGTACGTCTCAAAAGTGGTTCACCCCTATAACTACTTTATTTTTTCAGATAAAAAAACGAGAATTGGTATGTTAGTATTTGACACAAATTAGGATTAATTGACGTATTCAATTGTTTTTGGTCACTTCCTGTTTCACCGGAAATGACTACAACTTTTGATTTTTACATGGCACCCTCGGTATTTTTTTAGTTTATTCGATAGAAAATGACACTCTGAGTAGAATGACATATCATATGTCAACTTTTGACAATTTTGTTTAAAAAAAATTGTATTTTAAATTTCAATCTAGATGCCATGGCCGCGATAAAACCACTAATTTTTAGTCAAGAAGCCTTGAAACAATAGATTTGATCGTTTAATGTTTTTCGTATCTTGTTCTGGCCAGCTAAGAGATGCTCAAATCGTATTTTTAATCATATCTCAATTTTTTCAAATGGAACAAGGGTGGCTCATTAGCATATTTGGAAAAAGCATTTTTTACCAGTAATTTGATACCACACACTAGGTATTTCGTGTCAAATTGTCGTTATGAACCGCATGTTACAATTTCAAATAAACAATATTTGAAAATGTCATAAGTTGACATATGATATGTCATTCTATTCAGAGTGTCATTTTCTATCGAATAAAGTAAAAATATGCTGAGGGTGCCATTTAAAAATCAAAAGTTATAGTATTTCCGGTTAAACAGGAAGTGACAAAAACAAATGAATACGTCAATTAATCATAATTTAGAGCCTATATTAACATACCAATTCTCGTTTCCTTATCTGAAAAAATAAAAAAGTTATAGGGGTAAACCACTTTCGAGATGCACCCGGTATAATTACCGAGATAATGACTTATAAGTGAAAAGCTGTTCTATAATCTTTCATGTTCAATTTAATCTGGGAACAATCGCAACATCAACAATTTTTGAAGTCTTCAAATTTAAACATTTTTCATAAAAACAATTGTTTTCATCTGCCTAGTTTCCATCTCTAATGTATACACATAAAAATAATATTGGACCCCATTCTTAGTTTTATTTATATAAATATATGTTCCTCGAGTGACTTAAGTGAGCACTAAGAAGCGATTTTTGAAGATTGACCCCCCAAGTGGGTAAAATTATGGATGAAAGATTGCATTCAAATTTATTAATATCTGATCTGGGGGTACTAAATTTTGTATAGAGATTTGGTTTGGTTTGGTTTGGTGATCCATTTGAGCACTCAGGAGCCATTTTCGAAAATTCGCCCAAGGTGAAATACGGGCTGAATGTATGAAAAAATAAAATCTGTCCAAGGAGTTAAAAATTTTGCACAAAGGTCCTTTAAGTGGCTTCATTGAATACTAAGAAGCAATTTTCGGAAATTCAGCTCGTAAGAGGTGAAACTAGGGGTAATAATAGTAGTTTTGTATAAAGATATTTAAAATCTAAGAGCATAAAATTTTGCACATACATATTATTATGTACCTTAAAGTAACTAAGTGTGTACTCAAAAACGGTTTTTGGAAATTCATCCCATAGGGGTAACAATCTATAAAAAAATTGTTATAATCGGTTTTAAAAATAAGAGACTGAGTACAACAGCGATTTTTAGAAATTCATCCCTTCGGATGGTCATACAAGTCCAAAATGTGGGTTTACCATTAAATTTCCATACCAAAAATACCATATTGTCATATACTATACTTATAATACCGAATGGTTTTTGAAATATAACCGTTTTGAAACTAAATTTGCTACTTAAAATTCCTGCTCTCAAATTACTGCCCTCTTAAAATTCTAAATTCGAAGAATTTTATTATTTTTTAACAGAATAGAAGTACTGTGTATGACGTCTTCTTCAAAATTCGTCAAAAGTCTACCCTAATTTGCAATCATGTTTGTTATATACAGAGCGACTCAAAACAAAATGTATTTCTCTCTACTATTTTAAGTGGAACACCCTGGATTTTGTATCATAATCGAATAATCAATATTTAATGAGAAAATTTTGTTTTGAAGTACAAGGTGTATTTTTTTATAAATAATACGCTATACAAATTGGTTTAAGTGTATATTAGAATAATTAATAGTAAATGTGAGTTGTTAGTATGATTAAATAGAAGAATATAGCAATCTTACCTCAGCTAATCTTTCTGCAGTTGAGAATGACGATGTTATTGTACGAATAAGTTGTCCTAAATATCTATCATTCAATGTAAATCTATCAACTAAATATTCCCAATTGTTTCTAAAATAAAATTTCGAAATTCTTTATCAAATATTCATTATATATTATATTATTAATATGTTGTGTTATTAATACATTATCATATTACATACAATATTAGTATGTTACAGGCGATATTATAAAAACAGACTGTATTTATATGGTATAGGTTGTATAGCACAGACCGTAGCATTTTATTCGCCCTGGGCATTTCGTCTGCGTGATCTGTATTGTAATGCATGCGACATAGATAAATAAAAATGACCGGTTCACAGACAGAGGGACAAAATAAAAAGCAGCATACAGTGTTGGCGGGTTTTACGATTGTAGGAAAATGTGTGTAGAAAAAAAAACTATTTTAAAAATACATTTCCCTCACTATTTCTTTCTTGTTCATATTGGTACCACGGCTAAGGGTATTGCGGCGGGTTGCTGTTGGCTACCTCCGCGGCTGTTCTGAACGAAGCCCACAATCCTGGGCGACTCTGGTTCTGGGCTGCAAATTGGGGCTTTAGGCTCCCGTTTGCTCCTTTTATTTTCCATCATTGATTTTCGTTCCTTCATCATTTTTTCCATCTCCTGGGTTTGTTTGCTTCTGGGTTTTTTGTGTTTTGGGATCGGTTTCATCGCTTCCTGATTCCTTACCGTACTGATCTGAAGGCAGTAACATCAGTATACACTAGTGTAGGTGTTTGTGTGAGTGTGCGTGTCTGCACTGGTGTATACGGTTGCGAGTTGTTGAGGGCTGAGCCGTTTAATCTTTTCCTTCTTAAAAACTCTCATGTACACTACTGAAATGAAGATAATATATCTAAGCTAAATGTCTTTTACAACTAGTGATGGGAAAAGCCGATTAATTTCAATAAGCGAGTACTCGAGTATCAAGCGATTGCAATAACCGAGTGATCACTCGAGCGAAATATCGCTCGTATTTAAAAATACGGTTTTTTGTCCGACATAAATTAGGATTGATTGACATATTCAATTGTTTTCGATCACTTCCGGTTTCACCGGAAATGACTGCAACTTTTGATTTTTAAATCGCACCCTCGGCATTTTTTTTACTTTATTCGGTATAAAATTACACTCTGAATAGAATGACATATCACATGTCAACTTTTGACGTTTTCGCATTTGGTTTATTTGAAATTGTAACATGCGGTTCATAACGACAATTTGACTCGAAGTACCATGTGTGTGGTATCAAATTATTCTTAAAAAAAATCTTTTTCGAAACATGCTAATGATCCACCTTTGTTCCATTTGAAAAAAAAGAGATATGATCAAAAATACGATTTGGGCATCTTTTAACCGGCCAGGGCAAGACACTAAAAACATTAGACGACCAAATCTATTTTTCCAAGGCTCCTTGATTAAAAATTAGTGTTTTTAACACAGCCATGGCACTCTAGATTGAAATTTAAAATACAATTTGTTTTTAAGCGAATATGTCAACAGTTGACATATGATACGTCATTCTATTTAGAATGTCATTTTCTATCGAATAAAGTAAAAAAAAATACCGAGGGTGCCATTTAAAAATCAAAAATTGTAGTCATTTCCCGTAAAACAGGAGGTGACAGAAAACAATTGAATACGTCAATCAATCCTAATTTATGTCATATACTAACACACCAAATCTCATTTTTTTATCTAAAAAAATAAAAAAGTAATAGGGGTGAGCCACTTATGAGACGCACCCGGTATATACGGCGTCGTATAAATTTGCTACCTGCAATGTATGTAGAAAATTCACTCGGCTTTTTGTAGAGAATTTTTTTTATAGAGTATGTCACATTAAAATCGGATTTCAATTTATTTCATTCTAGGATCGCTTGCGTTCCTCGCTTGGTACGAGAATATTCAGAAAGATTGCCTAATCGAAATTTCGTCAGGATAAAGCCACCTCCTCATCACTTGCATCGCTCGTTCATAATCGAGCGATGTCGGTTATTTCAATAATCGAGTACTCGAGCAAATTTTCGCTCGAGTTATCCCATCACTATTTACAACTGTAGTAAAATAAGTAACTAATTGTGAAAAATAAAGTTCCAACCCTAGATGCAACATTTTTAATAAACGCCTACTTGTGCGGTTTGAAATTTTGATGCAAAATCCGGCAATATCGTATAGAAGAAATGTATCAACCCATACTTTATCTCTTTTTAATACATTTGATTTTCCATTAAGCTGTCTTACACGTTGAAATCACTGTCTTACACGTAAGACAGTGATGTTAGTCACTGTCTTTGTATAATCACTGTAAGACAGTGATTATACGTTAAAATCCAAACCACGCAGTTTCGATGACCAGATAGGTATGTACTAGACCCTTAACATACAGATTTTTGCTATTTAGACCATATGTTTAAACACGCGAATATTCAGAAAGCGTTGCTATAATCGTTCCACCGTTGTTTAAGTTCCACCCAACGCAACGTCAAGGTATCGTATCGTATTGAAATTAAAGAACAAAAAATTACAAAAAAATGGTTGAAACCAAACCAACCAACTAATGCAACTAATGATTTTGTTGCTCTCAGCTTCTCCCGTTAGTTTTCAGTGTATGCCATGAAATTTTGCCTCTGTTTTAGTTGCACGAATGAGTTTTGATGGCTGTGTTTCACCTTTTTTCGTGATTATTTGCTTTTATAGATATGATTTTGCCTTGACGTAAGATGCGCCGAAAAAAAATTATTATGTAATTTTATTCTAAATGTCACAATAGTTTAACTTGTACAAATTAATAAAAAACAGATTCTGTTTGTGTTTCAATATCACACACTAGTCTTATAATATGGTCTAGTTGCACCCAAGTAGCATTTTCACGACTTGCGACTACATGTTTACTAAACACAACGTTGGATTAGTTACAAAAAATAGTTAGCTCCGTACCTTGGGTATTAAAATAAATGTAAACGTTGTTGTAACGTTGTGCCGACGTTGAACTAGTACTACAACAAAGTAAAAGCTTCTGCGACGTCGAATAAACGTTGTCTTGTAACCTTTTTTGCTTAAGTGATCTTTAGATGATTCGGACAACGTAATTACAATGTTGGGCAATAAAGAGTTTTCTGACGTCACTTTCAGGACCTATTCCAACGTTATGCAAACGTCGTCTGTTTTACTAGTTCCAACGTTGTTCAGATTTCCTTATTCTTACGTTGATAGGAAGTCGAGCCACTACCTTTTTGAAACTGTATTGAACCATAACCTTAAATCTTAAATTTTCACTTCATTGTTCTGTTCAGTCAGACAGTTCAGTGCCGTTTTTGTTTTAGAAAAAAAAACTTAATTATATAAATAAATAAATAAATAAATAAATGCCTTTATTGTCAAAAAATTTTTCAATTTGTAGACAAAGGTAAACTAACAAACAAAGTAGAAAAAAAAAACAAGGTGCACAAACAAACAAACAAAAGATAATACAAAACATTATATAAATAATATTGTCAGTCTTATTGTTAAAATAAACATTTATAAATGTTTACAATGTCAAAGAACAAAAAATTTAAAATAATATTCAAAAATATTTAGCCAGTTTATAGCAAAATATCAATGACCTCTAAATAAATTAATTTCGATGTCATTAGTAAATATAGCAATAGCAAACATTAGACCAGTGTTTTCAAGATCAAATTCGATTTTCAATTCAAATATAATTCATTTACGGCGTAGAAAGCCTTGTCTAGTAAATAAGAGTTCAATGCTTTGCGAAATGAAAAAAATGATGTTATGGATTTGATTTCAAATGGCAGGTGATTGTGCATTTTTCTCGAGTTGTATAATACTGAACTTTTAACTAACTCTGAGCGTGGGGTAGGTAGATAAAGATCTTGCTCCGCGTTCCTGAGTGGATAAGTGTGAGATGGCCTTTCTTGAGAAGCTGATACATGTTTACGTATTAGGCAAACGGATTCAAATATAAATAAGGAAGGAAGAGTCAATATTCTTAATTCCTTAAAAAAGTCCCGGCAATGAGTTCTGCTGTTTAGTCCTAGTGAATATCGAACAGCTCTCTTCTGGAGCTTGAAAATGCGGTCAAATTGAGTCGCACAACACGTACCCCAGAATGGAAGGGCATACCTGAGGTGCGACTCCAAAAGTGCATAATAAACAGTTCTACCCACTGACAAGTTAAGCTCCTTGTGGTACTCCACAGTCAAGTCAAGCCTTGTGGTACTCCACATTCTATTGGCTTGCTAGAAGACAACGTGGTATCCACCCTCACAAGTTGACTTCTGTTGCTCAGATACGACTTAAACCATTCGAGAGATGATCCCCTGAACCCATAGTGCAGCAGTTTATTAATTAGGATCTTATGACTTACACAATCGAACGCCTTAGAAAAATCACAGAAAATTGTTGCTGTAGAATGATGGTTGTTTAGGCTGGAGAAAACTTTATTAAGGAGGGAAAACATAGCGTCATTTGTGGACTTGTTGCTTAGAAATCCAAATTGATATTCAGTAAGTATTTTGTACTTAAACAGAAAAGATACCAGCCTTCTTTTAACCAACCTTTCTATGATCTTAGATAGCGTTGGAAGGAGTGCAATTGGGCGATAGTTAGAAGCTTCATCTTTGTCTCCTCCTTTGTGCAGAGGAATGATTATTGCCGTCTTAAGACATTTTGGAAAAATACCATTTTGGAACGACATGTTTATTAAAGTTGTTAGGTGATTCAGAGTGCTTTCTGGCAGATTCGAAAACATTTTTAAAGTTAGCCCGTCGGTCCCAGAAGAGGATTTATTTTTGATGGTATTAATTGTACTGCGAAGCTCTTCAAGAACTACGGGCGAAAAAAAAGAAACTGTGTAAGTTTACATTATCATTAGAGAGATAAGAAAGTGGATCATGAGGAGGACATATGGTATTACTTAAGTTTTTCGCTACATTTACAAAGTAATCGTTAAGGTTCTCAGGCGAGGTAGAGATATTGCTAGACGAAGAAGCTTTGTTTCTCAACTCATTCACAATAGACCATGTTTCCTTAGCAACATTACCAGAATTAACTATTCTCCTATTATAATAAAGGCCCTTAGCGGCTCTTATAGTCTTATGATAAATTTTTCTGTATAGTTTTACGTAATTGTGGAAGAAGAGACTGTCTGCGATTTTTTTTAAATGAGATAATGAACGCATGTTTTTAGAAGATATGCGTAGACCTTTAGTGGTCCAAGGTTTATTATGCTTATTTTTTATAGGCCTAAGAGGAAAGGATTTGAACGCTAGACTGGTTAATGTTTTTACGAAAATAGAAAATTCGGTGTCGACATCATAAGAGCTAGTATCCCAGTTGGTTGTTTTACATAAGTGGCTGAACTTTTGAGCATTCTTTTCTGAAAAAATACGACATAATTTACGAGGGGCATTTTTGATTTTGGACTTTATCGAAAATTCAGTTAAAACTGCTTCATGATCAGAGAGACCCGAGCTAAAGACGTTGCAGGCGATGGAGTTAGGATCAAAAGATGATACAACATAGTCTATAGTACTAGAACTGGTATTGGATATTCTGGTAGGTGAGCCTACATGCATGGCCATTCCAAAAGAATCAAAAATGGACCGAAGAAACTCCTGAGCAGCACATACACCAAGAAAGTCAATATTAAGATCACCACACAAAATTAGTTTGCTTTTCAAGGGCAGAGACTCAAGCAAACTTAGTAGATTATGACAGAATAATTGCACGTCAGAGTCAGGTGTTCTATAAATACAAATAATGTAGGGGTCACAATAAGGTCATAAGCATTATGGTGGACAATGGAAAATTCGAATACTTTTTCAGATAACAAATCATTGTACCTAGTTACCTCGGAAAAGTCGTTGTTTAAAGACATTATCATAGTACCTCCATGAGAAAAATTTGTTCTATTAAATCTGGCTACTGTGGTATAATTTTTAACAAACACAGGCTCATTAAAATTCAACCAGTGCTCAGTTATGGCAATGATATCTGGAAATTCAAGTTCTTCTAGTAAAAGATATAATTCATCTGTTTTATGTCTTAAGGACTGAATATTAATAAGGAATAGACCAAGCTTGCTATCGCTTAATTTTTCAGAGGGTGCTTGATCCTCTGTTCGCGTCAATTCAACTAAAAATTTTTATTCTTATTTGGGGAGCCACTGGAATAATATTTGCCGTGACTTTCCCTAATCTTTTGAAGTCGTAGAAGGCTCTCCGCAGAAAAGAATGACCTGAAAGCTGAAAGATCTGCATCAACTTCAGTTGAGCCAATACCATAGGCGTTGTGGAAGCGGTAGTACAACTTACGCAAGGAGTCCAGGTCACTAGGTAGCCCTTCTGATGCAAGCATCAATTTGATGCTGGTACTAGTGTGTTCTTCAAAACATACACTGGATGGTTGGTCGTGAAGATAGGCAAGGAATAGCCTAAGAGATTTCAAAATGGAGGGGTCCCTCAACTTGGCCAACACGTAACGTCCATTTACCGCATCTGAGTCCTGAGACAGCCGTACTATAGGTGGAGTCATCGGGTCCATAACTACCAAACCATCTCCCTTCGTACTTCCCCGCACAATAATTTCTGGATTTTCCATCGCCAGGGACTTGCAAGCAGCTATAGCCTCCCTGTCAGACCCAATCTTAATAGTTCTTACCTCCATTGGCATAGTTGCCAGTGGTGGGTCAAGTAGGTGAGGTAGCTTGCGGTTCTCAGTGATGTTTATTTTGAGATTTTGAGCAGGTTCAGCCGAAGAAGTTAACGAAGCTTGGTTTAAGGATGTTGAGGTTGAATCTATTTTGGTTCCCGGCGGCCACATATTTATGTCCTTAAGCTGCACTAAGTGACACCTCTTTTGCACTCCAATTTTGAAATCGGAATGGGAACTGTCCTTATTTTTCAGCATTGGAAAGCATCTGATGAAATCGGTGGTTTCTAGTTTTTCTTTAACATAGTGCGCAAGTTGAATGAATGATTAAAATGGGACGTAAGAAAGGCACATATAAAACTAAATTTAAATATATATGGACATATTACCGATACTTTATCCACTCCCTCGTTTATTTAGAATATAGAGGGCGGCACAAGCTAGACTCTAGGATGGCTAAATTAGGCAATCTTGCGACTAGTACAGTACGTCTGTCCGTTCTGTAGCTACGGGGTATCCGTGAGAGGGGAAATAATATTCTCTCGATTTTTGTAAAAAAAAGACGACGCGTCCCATCAATAAAAATTCGACAAATTTGCAAGTAGCCAATAAAATGAGTGGGCGGAACGATTTGCGGTGACGTACTCATCAAGTCGACGTATAAAATATATTGATGTTTATTTAAATGTTTTTAGTCCGCATTCCTTTCATAGACACAGATCCAGCAGACGTACTTTATACTACCTGTTAAGGCTGAACTCCGACTTTATTAGTCCAGTATGCGACTACTACTCGAACTACTCCATCTTAATCTCCAAAACAACAAAGTGAAAGCCGCCATGTTGTTGAATAAGAAAATGTTTCGTTCCTAAAATAGCAATTCCTGCTTTTTGAATACATTAACTTGAAATATTTGACCCTAAACAACACACGGAAACAATTTTTTTTCGACTGCGAATAAATTATTCTCATTTTACTAACAAAAAAAAATTCAAGAAATTTTTTAAAACTTCTTTAATTTTAAGGCCTATTAGTATTTTTCAAAGTAGAAACAATACATTTATCAATAAAGTTGTTTGCGTTTAACTTTTTTGCCTTGGGTAACGAGTTACAGACTTGGTTAAAGTGTTTCAATAATTATGATCTTCAAACATCCTCCACACTTAAATACTTTTGTTTTGTTTTCCCTTTACTGCCATCTGGCATATGTCTCTAACTAAATCATAAAAATAATATTTTTACTATAATTATCCCAATTTAGGATAATACGCGACTTAGACGCCATATTATTATAGTTTTGTATTTCTGTGAATTAGGATTTTAAACAACGTTGTAGTTTGTACTAAATTAGACTGCTTAGTAGGTATCCAACGTCGTTTCGACCTAAAAATTATTCCCCAAACTAGTGCAGATTAGGGTTGGCACGAGGTTGTGCCGACGTTGCGCCCCGTCGTTTGGTCGCGTGACACAACGTTGTCCCGACGTCCAAATGCTGCTTGGGAAGTTAAAGTCTTGTCAAAACATATATTTGGTTATAAATATAAACTGGAATGCCCCATTGGTCGCACTGCAATCACACCAATGGACTGCCGCACAAAAACAAATCAATCAAAGAAACGCGATATAGTATCGTCAAGTATCGTCTTTGTCAATCACACTAAGATTTTAGAATAAGTAGGAGGAGCGCAGGCAGATGATTAGACCGGGCCTTTAAAAACCTACGTCTGCGGTAAAGATTTACGTTTTTAATGTAAAAATGATAGCGGGCGTGTCGATTCTAAATTCATCAAGCGATGAATCACTCCCAAACATTCGTGGCGTTTAATATACTAAGATCTTCAGTCCATTTATATATGGGCTAGTCCTTTTGCATATAGCTAGGTTTACATATAGCCTGTAACATATACAGTAATCCCTCAAAGATTCAAGTTCATTAGATATTTCGATATTTTTAAAACTAAATGATATTTACAATTACCTCACAAAATCCCATATTAAATCAGTTCCAGCTGTATTTACAGATATGTAACCTAAAACTGTAAAATAATCTTGGCTTCTTACAACAGTAGTGTCCTTAGTAAGTTCCAGTAATCTGCAAAAAAATAGTTACTTGCAATAATGATAGGCAAAGTTTTGAAATAGTGGTTGGATCTACATATGTTAGCTAAGCAGGGTATTAAGTTTGATAAAACTAATGGTCGGTGAGAGTTCTAGGAAACATAATAGCAAGACTTGATGTTCCCCGAGCTTAACAAAAAATGTATGAAGTAAAACGCTAAAAAATAAAATCTACCCGCTAATATAATTAAATTTAACGAAAAATGTAATTAAGTGTCTGTTAATACGTGTCTGATCACACATTAGAAGAAAAGAAATAATACAAATATTAGTACATACAGGGTTATTCACTAGGGTGGGCCGTCGGGTAATGTGTTTTTATATTTTTTTTTTGATCCGGTTTCCTGACCTCACAAAACTTGTAAGATACCTTACTTCATGGCGTTTTGCTTTTTAATAAATTATTTTTTTCCACTGCCACAGAGGAGCTATAAAAAATAAGATTTTTGCAAAAAAAAAGGTAATTACGTAATGGATGTCAAATTATTATTTTTTAAGTTATTATGGTTGTTGGTAAAAAAATAAGTTGCACCAAATCTGGCTTTTTTTAATATATAAAAAGGTAACGAAAATACAAAACAGTTGAAAACTAAACTATAAATATAAAAAACAAAATGATAACTATTTCCAATAACTCACAGAAAAGGTAACAAAAATACAAAATAGTTGAGAACTAAACTATAACTATAAAAAACAAACTGGTAACTATTTCAAATAACTAACATGTCATTCCAAAAAAAGTCTTTTTGAATTCATATTTCGGCATATTTTCCCTCGATTTCAGTCTGTTTCTTATATATCCGGCTCTTTTTTCGCTTCCACAGACGGTAGCTGAAGCTTCAGTTACAATTTTGACGGCCTTCACAACCGCTTGTGTATGGCAAGGATATGCTGTGAAATATGACAAAAGACTGACTTCGGGATTCTCGACAACTTCTTTAAGTTGTTCTTTTGATAGTTTCATAGTTACAGGAGGCTCCATCCATAAAACCTTCTGCCAGTCGATCATTTCAAAATAATACTCCTTGGCGTCAAATAATAATTCTTGGCGCTGATCTTTGCAATTCAACTGCCTACTCTTCAAAATTCTTTGGAATTCCAGTTGCCTTATGTGCTTCCTTTCGTCAAATAGCATAGCCAAAATAATATTTCTCTGGACTTCCAAAGAATCCATTCCTTTGAATAATTTTTTAGACTAAATCTTAGTCTTAGAGTCTTATTGTCTTGAAGAAGTGTCTGGCACCATAAATGCATGACGGCTGAGCCTTAATGCAAAACCACATTGGTGCATACACTTTCATTAGGAAATGGCTTAGTATTAGTAAGTTTTCCGAGGGCTTTTCAGTTGCTACATATAAATGAAGGATACGAGAAGCAGTAGTCAGCCAACGAGAATGAACCATTTTTCCAGGCTGTCTCTTAGAACAAACTCCCTCATTCGACATAGGGTACTGTAACCAAATGATTAGATTTTTAGAAATTGTGAGTAATGGGATCGTCGGAGGACTATTAAAGTTACAATTTAAAATTATTTTCAAATGGTACAAAGTGTCTCAAATAAATAAAATATATCAAAGTTGTATTTTATTAAATGGAACACCCTATATATTATTACATTTTTAGTTTCTGTGATTAAAATAAAGGTAACTTTTATTAATGTTTACCGCACTTTAATCTTGCCGCTTTTGAAATATCTACCAATTTGGGAAAATACAGTAACAATAATTTTAATGCTTCATTTATCTAGGCGTATTTAAGTTTGTATAACCAAATATTATACCAAAGTTTTTCTATTTACTAAATTTTGTGTTGTAATAATAAAAATTATTCTACCTTATACAGAGTGTCTAAAAATCTATCTTATATAATTACTAGCTTTAAATAGGATTTTTTAAATTTAAATGGAACACCCTGTATTTTTTACGTGAAGCAGATGCACAATTTAATTGTCTATCAAATTGTATTATACCATTTTCTACCTATATCTTCAAGTTTTTGTAGAAAATGCATTTTCTTATAATAATTTTAAATTGTAGGTTTACTAGTCCTTCAACGATACATTACTTACAATTTCTAAAATATAATCTTGTGGCTACAATACTCCGTTTCGAATAGGGTGAATAACCCTATATATAAAATATGATGCATTAATGCATGTTTTAAGTTTTAATAAATTTCTAAAAGATGATTAAATATTTCATTATGAAAACAAAGTAGTAAGCTACACGTACTTTTCCAATAAAGTAGTATTTTTAACGTTTGCTAAACCATTAATAAGCTTTAATTTTTCATTGGCATCGCTTTCTGCTTCGTATATTTCTAACAGTTTATACCAAGTTGACTCGTCTGCATTTACCATTCCTAAAAATAAAAAAAAATGTTTAAATTTTATATCACTAAATATCAATACAATATTGATTCAGATAATACATTTCTCACCGATTTAAAGATCTGTTTAATTATATACTGTTACGTTTTTCGTCGGTTCGGTGTGGATAGAAAGTCTAATTTATTTAAATACAATTTATTTTACACTAAGTAACAAAAACAATAACGATAAAAGACTTAAGAACTATTTACAAACTATTTATCTAGAAAGAATTTATTTTGAATTTAGCGCGGCAACTGTACTCGTCTATTTGTTTCTGTCCCCCCAATGACTAAAGAATACAAGGACAAATAGCACCCGAGACCAAACTGTGACCATTCTTCCAAACAGTGCCGTGGCACATATTTTTCTTAACATAGCCGCTTGAAGCGATATATATATTTTTCATAAATGTTTTCATTACGCCTATGGTGTATCTGGTGGTATCATACTAATTAATAATTACGAAAAAAACGTATTAAAATGTTAACAAAAAGTACAAAACTAGTATCGACGTATAGCACATACCAAGTACATATAATATCAGAAAAATAATTATCGAATTTAATAAAAAAAAACGCTAAAAGGGTGTAGAGGACTGTTTATTTCCCTATAAAACGAAACTCCTGGCTCTTTCTTATCATTGCGCCTTTTACACTTGAAAACTGAACAAATTACCATTGTAATACAGTTTATACAAAGTTCACTACACACAACCAACTATTAAAAATCGCTAAAATTTTTGCTGATGGCCAGCCCGGTGGCCAGCTGATGACTCATTCGTTAAGTTCAAAAAAATGGCGTCTAAGGTCACAAATTCTGCTGCAGCCCGTATATGGGCGGTACATGTCCTTGTATTCTTTAGTCATTGTGTCCTCCTTAGGCCCCAGGCGTCGCGCGTCGGCTTAATACCCACAGCTTAACAGTTCTCGAATTTTCTCGAGAAGGTTTAGAATGTTCTCATATGTACTCCTCCATTCCAGTGGAACTCGAATTTTCTCGAACCTTCGAATGAATCATTACAGTGTCTATTATTTAATGCGATATTAAGGTCATATGGGGGCGGGACATATTAGTTAGTTAGGTTAGGCCGAGTCCACACGGGTCCGCAACAATACTTTAAATTCCTTGAGAATAGTGGAAATAGTCCATGTTTATAATAATAATCCCCTTTACACAAATGAGGAGTAGCAAGATACAGCTTGGCTACTCTTGTAATGTATTAGAAAGGTGTCATGCAAAAACACGGTAGATTAAAGTGGTGCGTCTCAAAAGTGGCTCACCCCTATAACTTTATTATTTTTTCAGATAAAAAACGAGATTTGGAATGTTTGGTTTAGACGAGATTTAGTATATGACATAAATTAGGATTGATTAACGTATTCAATTGTTTTTGGTCACTTCCTGTTTCACCGGAAGTTACTACACCTTTTGATTTTTAATGGCACCCTCAGAATGTTTTACTTTATTCGATAGAAAATGACTCTCTGAATAGAATGACATATCATATGTCAACTTTTGACATTTTCGCATATGGCTTATTTGAACATGCGGTTCATAATGACAATTTGACTCAAAATACGCGGGGTTGTGGGGTATCAAATTATTCGTAAAAATGCTTTTTCCAAATATGCTAACGAGTCATCCTTGATATTTGTCTCCATAAATAAGACTTTGCCGCTGTGAAAAATGTCAGGGTATAGGGTATATCGAGCATCGCGCCGAATCGTAAAGAATTTTCGCATAGTCAAATAAATTTCACATACATTTTTATATAAATATTAGATTTAAGTTGTAAATAGTTTTATTAATAATAATAACAATGACCCATCAGGGTCCCACAACAATAGAGAGCCCCACCCCTGGAAGCTCTACTAGTTTGCAAACCAGTCAAGGAGTTGCTGCTGGTAGAAAAACAACTAGAAAGAAAATAAATTGGAGCAAAGAAATGAATTGTAACATAGTAAAAGCATTTCTATTCGTTAACGAATGTAGGGATGACCCACTTCCGGGGTGGAGACAAAAATTACACATGGAATTTAAACAACGGCATTCAGAACTTGAGCTCGCGGAACAAAACCTAGCAGATCGACTGAGATTGATATATAGGAAGCAAATGGTAGCACTAGCTGAAATAGATGAAATCAGACGTAGCGTTGGAAGAGAAATCCACAACTCAGAGGAAGGTGAAAGCTCAGTTGTGTTAGCTGTACATGAAAGTGACACACCACATGAAACTTGCCAGACAAATGATACACCACATGAATCTTGCCAGACTGAAGCAGAAGAAAATAGAGCAGCAGCTGCATGCAAATTGAAAGACAATTACCAGCTATTTGAAGATACCAACCCCTTATGTAGACCATACCTTCCAAAACTAAACATCAAGAAAGAAACCTTTAAAATCATAGAAGTAGTGAATGATGCTCTAGAAAAATTAGTGGCTAGTGTTGACGACCTTGATGAACTACATCGAGCCATATACGCTGCAGCCATCACGGTCCTTGAAATAAACCAACAACAACCCTACACTACAGAACTAACAAAAAATCAAAATACAGAAGCAACCTGCTTGGAAGAATAGACTACTATCCCAAATAGACAAATTAAGAGCAAAGGCGGACGTGATACATGAATACATCAACGGAAATACAAGCAGAAAAGTAAGGCATAAGATAGAGGATATTCTTAAAACGATCAAGCTCGAGAAATCTAACCCAGAATTCAACCGAAAACTTACATGCTTTAGAGATGAGCTTAGACAAAAATTTAAGTGAAAGGGGCTAGACTAAAACGATACAATAAAACAACTAAACGAAAGGAACAGAATCGAAAATTTCAAAAAAACCAGAAGAAATTCTATCAAACACTGGAAAACCATAACAAAGAAGAAGTAACTGTGGAAAATGCTAATAAAGAGGAGTTTCTTAAAAACTGGAGCAGTATGTGGTCAAAGCCTGCAGAATATAATAAAAAAGCTGCCTGGGTGCAATGGGAACAAGATAAAGCCAAAAACATCATAGAAATGACTAGTGTACCTATCACAGAAGAGGACATCAAATATGCCATAAAAAAGCTCAAGAATTGGAAAGCGGCAGGCCCGGACAATATACATAACTTTTGGATGAAACACTTTAAATGTCTACCTCTCGTGATTGTCCGATGTTTTGAACAAGCTCTTCAGAACCCCCAGGAATTCCCGAAATATCTTGCTACATGAAACACCTATTTACTATATAAGGGAGGAAACCAAAATGACCCTCAAAACTTCAGGCCAATTACATGTTTGTCAGTTGTATACAAATTGTTTACATCGGTGATATACTCAAAAATTTATGAACACTGTGCAGCTCAAAACATAATAGCTCCTGAACAGAAAGGTTGCATACGCCGATCACTTGGCTGTAAAGAGCAGCTCACCGTGGATACTGTTGTTACGAGACAGGCTGTAGTAAAGAAAAGGAACCTTAGTACATGCTTTATCGACTATAGGAAGGCCTACGATTCGGTTCCCCACGATTGGCTCCAAAAAATTCTTGAAATTTATAAAATCGACCCCAAAATTAGAAATATGCTGAATATACTAATGACCAACTGGAAAACTAAACTCCATTTAAGCAACAAAGATTTAGGAGAAATTGAAATAAAAAAAGGTATATTCCAGGGCGACGCTCTCAGTCCTTTGTGGTTTATCTTGGCACTCAACCCACTATCTTCCCTATTAAACAATACCTCTTGTGGATATCGCTTAAAAGTAAAGGACGAAAGACGAATAAACCATCTACTATTTATGGATGATATAAAAATATACGCGGAAAGTAAAACGCAACTACAAACGCTACTCAAAACAACAAAAACATTCAGCGACGATATAAGTATGTCTTTTGGTTTAAATAAATGTGCCACCGTAACTATTAGCAAAGGATGTATTAAATTAGAAAACGTCAATGAACATATAGATCCACTACCGCTAAATCAGACGTACAAGTATTTAGGTATGGCACAACACCGGTCCATCGACCACACAAAGCTAAAAAGTGAGTTTAAAGAAAAGTACAAAAAAAGACTTACAAAACTCTTAAATACAAATTTATCATCTGGAAACTTAATAAAAGCAATAAATGCATGGGCTGTACCTGTACTGATATATTCGTTTGGCGTACTTAAGTATTCTGATACAGATTTGCGTGATCTAGATCGACTCACGCGGGTACTAATGACTAAATTTAGAATGCACCACCCTAAGTCTGCTGTGGAAAGAATGTATCTTAAGAGAATAGAAGGTGGAAGGGGGCTTCTGAATTTGTATGAGTTGTGTAAAAATCAAGAGCACAAAATGAGAACATATTTCCAACAAAACAACAGCCCGCTTACCCAGATGATAGTGGATGCAGATAGCAATTACTCTGCGTTAAACCTTAAGGACTGCCGAGACCAGTTTGAAAACCAACTAATAGAACTAAGGAACAGACAGTGGCGGGAAATAGTTCTCCATGGAAGATATCCTGCATCCCTAGAGCAGCAGAATGTGGACAAAGAGCGGTCTCTGGAATGGCTAAGAAGAGGGTTTCTTTATCCAGAAACCGAGGGTTTTATTGTAGCAATACAAGACGAGGTCATAAGAACCAGAAACTACGAGAGAAATATTCTGAAGAATGGAGTTGAGGATGTGTGTAAAAAATGCCATAAACCAGGAGAAACAATTGCTCATATAACAACAGGTTGCTCGGCGCTCTCTGCTAATGCATATTTAGGCAGACACAACCAAGTAGCAAAAATTATTCATTCAAAGATGGCCAACAACCTTAAACTTAAGAAGAATCTTCCACCATATTTCAAATATGACCCTGAACCAGTCCTTGAATCTTCAGAATATGTTCTATACTGGGACAGACCAATTCTCACCGACAGAACAGTAGACTATAATAGGCCCGACATTGTGCTGATAAATAAAGATACCAAAACAGCAAAGATAATTGATGTTGCTTGCCCGAATAGCTACAACCTGCAGAAGACCGAGTCTGAAAAAGTTAGAAAATATGAGAATCTAGCTATTGAGATAAAACATGTATGGAAATTAAAAGAAGTTAGCATTATTCCTATAATCATCTCGGCAACAGGCATAATTCCAAAGAGCCTTCAAAACAACCTAAGTAAACTGCAGATACCACCAGCAGTCATAACAACTATGCAGAAAGCAGTACTATTGCAAACATGCCATATAGTGAGAAAGTTTTTGGGCGGAGAGAGATGAGATGAAGTTCTCCTTACATACACTAGAGACAGATAAGGGGTAGGTAAAAGTTTTCCAGCTACGGCTGAGAAAGTGCAAAAAATCGGTAAATAATAATACCCCCAGGAATTCCCGAAATATCTTGCTACAGGAAAACCTATTTACTATATAAGGGAGGAAACCAAAATGACCCTCAAAACTTTAGGCCAATTACGTGTTTGTGTCAGTTGTAAACAAATTGTTTACATCGGTGATATACTCAAAAATTTATGAACACTGTGCAGCCCAAAACATAATAGCTCCTGAACAGAAAGGTTGTATACACCGATCACTTGGCTGTAAAGAGCAGCTCACCGTGGATACTGTTGTTACGAGACAGGCTGTAGTAAAGAAAAGGAACCTTAGTACATGCTTTATCAACTATAGGAAGGCCTACGATTCGGTTCCCCACGACTGGCTCCAAAAAATTCTTGAAATTTATAAAATCGACCCCAAAATTAAAAATATGCTGAATATACTAATAACCAACTGGAAAACTAAACTCCATTTAAGCAACAAAGATTTAGGAGAAATTGAAATCAAAAAAGGTATATTCCAGGGCGACGCTCTCAGTCCTTTGTGGTTTATCTTGGCACTCAACCCACTATCTTCCCTATTAAACAATACCTCTTGTGGATGTCGCTTAAAAGTAAAGGACGAAAGACGAATAAACCATTTACTATTTATGGATGATATAAAAATATACGCGGAAAGTAAAACGCAACTACAAACGCTACTCAAAACAACAAAAACATTCAGCGACGATATAAGTATGTCTTTTGGTTTAAATAAATGTGCCACCGTAACTATTAGCAAAGGTTGTATTAAATTAAAAAACGTCAATGAACATATAGATCCACTACCGCTAAATCAGACGTACAAGTATTTAGGTATGGCACAGCACCGGTTCATCGACCACACAAAGCTAAAAAGTGAGTTTAAAGGAAAGTACAAAAAAAGACTTACAAAACTCTTAAATACAAATTTATCATCTGGAAACTTAATAAAAGCAATAAATTCATGGGCTGTACCTGTACTGATATATTCGTTTGGCGTACTTAAGTATTCTGATACAGATTTGCCTGATCTAGACCGACTCACGCGGGTACTAATGACTAAATTTAGAATGCACCACCCTAAGTCTGCTATGGAAAGAATGTATCTTAAGAGAATAGAAGGTGGAAGGGGGCTTCTGAATTTGTATGAGTTGTGTAAAAATCAAGAGCACAAAATGAGAACATATATCCAACAAAACAACAGCCCGCTTACCCAGATGATAGTGGATGCAGATAGCAATTACTCTGCGTTAAACTTTAAGGACTGCCGAGACCAGTTTGAAAATCAACAGCTAATAGAACTAAGGAACAGACAGTGGCGAGAAAAAGTTCTACATGGAAAATATCCTGCATCCCTAAAGCAGCAGAATGTAGACAAAGAGCGGTCTTTGGAATGGCTAAGAAGAGGGTTTCTTTATCCAGAGACCGAGGGTTTTATTGTAGCAATACAAGACGAGGTCATAAGAACTAGAAACTACGAGAGAAATATTCTGAAGAATGGAGTTGAGGATGTGTGTAGAAAATGCCATAAACCAGGAGAAACAATTGCTCATATAACAACAGGTTGCTCGGCGCTCTCTGCTAATGCATATTTAGGCAGACACAACCAAGTAGCAAAAATTATTCACTCAAAGATGGCCAACAACCTTAAACTTAAGAAGAATCTTCCACCATATTTCAAATATGACCCTGAACCAGTCCTTGAATCTTCAGAATATGTTCTATACTGGGACAGACCAATTCTCACCGACAGAACAGTAGACTATAATAGGCCCGACATTGTGCTTATAAATAAAGATACCAAAACAGCAAAGATAATTGATGTTGCCGAATAGCTACAACCTGCAAAAGAGCGAGTCTGAAAAAGTTAGAAAATATGAGAATCTAGCAATTGAGATAAAACATGTATGGAAATTAAATTAGCATTATTCCTATAATCATCTCGGCAACAGGCATAATTCCAAAGAGCCTTCAAAACAACCTAAATAAACTGCAGATACCACCAGCAGTCATAACAACTATGCAGAAAGCAGTACTATTGCAAACATGCCATATAGTCAGAAAGTTTTTGGGCGGAGAGAGATGAGATGAAGTTCTCCTTCGATACGTCCGAGCCTAACCCCATACACTAGAGACAGATAAGGGGTAGGTAAAAGTTTTCCAGCTACGGCTGAGAAAGTGCAAAAATCGGTAAATAATAATAAATCGTCTTTATTGTACTATAAAAAAGATAGTTACAATTTGTGGGCGAAGTTTAGCTGTAAGCTATTCTACCACTTAACCAAAATATTAGTGTTATTCGTTTGTGTTAATAAACTTCGTTAATTATATAAGACTTTGGACTATCCAGCAAAAACGTAACAGTATGATCAAAGAATACTATTCGCTCTAGAAGTCTCGTCTCGTATCAAAATAGGCTCTATATACAGGATGTAAGGTATCTTCTAGAGAGCTACAATATCTAGATCGGAGATTTTTTGCACATCATTATTTTACAATGAGATCGATTAAAATTTTTTAAATATGGCGGCATTTCCAGAAATACCGGAAGTTGACAGCAATATAAATTCTCTGTCAAATTTTATGAATTTTGATATCAAATACTCTATAACCGTTTTTAAGAAAAAAACATTTAAAATTTTTGGATGAAAATAATTTCCTGTTAAAAAAGAACGGTATAGCCTAAACGTCAAATTTAGTTACTACAGAACTGCTAGTCACTGACATAAAAAGAGAAGACATGTGGCTATTTATTTCAAAAATTAAATGGTTTCAATGTTATAATATAATATTGGCCGTAGCTGTTATGGAATCGACAGGTTAAAAAATTATAATAAATCATTTTTTTCAAATGGAAACCCACTTTTTTCTCTCAAAACGGTTAATATTAGGTATAGTGTTTGATATAAAAAATCATAAAATTTTACAGAGAATTTAAGTATGTAACAAAAAATGTGGGTACCCATTTAACATAAGAAAGTTGTTGTCAACTTCCGATAGGTATTTACGGAAGTGCCGCCATATTGAAAATATTTTTAACTGAGAGATCTCATTATGAAACAATGAAGCAAAAAATCTCCAATCTAGATCTTGTAGTTCTCTATCTTAAAACTTCTAATACACGCTCAGTCTAGCACACCCTGTATATATGGGGCAGTCCCAAAGCAATTTTAATGCGAGAAGAGACTTCTATGGCGCATAATATTCTTTGATATATGAAATTTTTAGAAACATGGATTGACGGATCGTATCATATCTACCAAAAAAAATTATCTTAAAAAATGCAAAAAATCAGAATATGATCAAAATACTCTGAATAAATAAATATGCAGACAAAAATATACATTAAAATATATCAAAATAAACTGTTACATCGTAATAATTTACTACTAACAAAAATTAATTGACATTGTTTGTTATTACTATCGATCTAACAAGTAATCGCAAAACAATTTCCGATGGACGTGATCATCTTTGAGTGACAAGCGATGGCGACAGCGCTGCCAGATTGTGATGGATTTATGAAATGAATCTTTTATTAGATCATTTTTAAAAGATTTTTACGTTTTATATTTAATTTAATCAGGAAAGCTACAAGCTCTTTGCTTCGACTGTTTAAATGCTTCGGCATATTTTCGAGACACAATTTCAAGAAATGCAATATAAAAACTCGAAAATTTAGTTCTTAAAAGATCTGTTTGTGCTTAAAAGTAAAATTTTTAAAAAAAAGACTATGAAAATTGGAGAAAAAATGAGAATTACTCCCAAAGATTCAACAACAACACAATATTATACAAAATAATGACTGCCATTATGATATTGTCAAATAATAAACGACAACTCTGCTGACTGCAGCGCATGGAGATAATAAAAATCGCTTTAAACTAATTTTTGCAGCTTTAATCTAAATAAAATATCTGTTACAATCATTTGTTCTATGAAGTAAAATGAAGAGCTGTTCGGTATCTTAAATTATACAACAAACTTAAACATTTTTGCCAAAATTTTATTTAGTCAGGTTTACAGGTTTTAGTGTCAATTTTGATATGATTGATGACGTGCATCAAAAAAGGTTTTGCGATTACCGTATAGAGGGTGGTGACAATTTCGATTCTCAACATTGGCATCTCAGAAACTACGAGAGATACGAATTCAGTTAAATGGGACAAAAGTTGCGTAATTAGAAGTTTGACAACTCCTATGAAGAAAACCCCGGTACCTTAATTAGTTTCGGATTTATGAAAAAAATGAAAACAATACCTTTATATTAAATGTCAATATCTTCAGAACTGTATTATATATAATGTTGAGCATCGAAATTGTCACCACCCTGTATAATTAATGTTACTTACCATACTTATACACTATAGACCTCAAATCCTGAGATAACGTTTGGCTTGTATCATCAATCCAACTATTAAATTTAGATTGAGCTTCATTGAGACAATTAGAATCTTCTGCCACACATGCTAAGGATAATACAACTAATCGACTCAGCCTTAAAAATGTTTGATTTATGAAAATCAGTTAGTTTAATAAAAGTATCGCATACCTTGATAGATGATCGTCGCTGTCATTTTCAACCCATGTAAAATTATTATAAGCGTTTGAAACAATTTGTTTAATGTAATCCTAAAACAATATAAAACCTTTTGATATTTAATAGTTTAATAAAATAATTATTTATACTATACCTTAAATAAGGTACTTTGACTAGAGTCTGTCAAATATGTGTGAATAGCTTGTAATTTAGAAGATGCGACACTCCAAGGTGTATAACTGGTTTCGTTAACAAGTTGTCTGGTTAAGTCTAAAGGTATACTACAAACAAAATATTACGTTATAGTATAAAGAAAGAGAAATAATTATAGTTGATACAATATGATCGAAAAAAAGGCGTCAGCGATGGCTAGGAAATGAAGATTGCTTTAACTTTATATGTAAAATTATATGGGGAATGTCATCAATCGTCAATTCCAAGTCAACTAGGCGCCGTTCTTTTTAGATCATACATTATTACCAGTCTTAACAATGATGTATGAAACACCCACAACAAAAAATTAGTACTTTTTAGAATTACATACATACATATTAAGTCAGGCATCTAAATGCAAAATCCGAAAAGTCATACATTTTTGAAAATAGAGTTCTATACACCATTTTATTTGTTATCAAAAGAGCTAGCAAATTTCATAATATTTTCTTGCAAATATCGACAATATCCTTAAGATATTTAGTAATGAAAACCTGGTTTAAATGCAAAAAGCGATATGTCCCATCAGGATCTAAACTGAAACACCAACGATGTCCTCGTCAGCCAATTAGAATGAGTTAGTTAGCTTACGTTAATATAACCTAAGTTAAAAAAATTGTTCAGTTTAAAATTTAGATTTTGGTGTTTAATCTTCGTAAAAAACTATGTGTATTATTATTCTTTGTTTACTTTTGTTTTCTTTTCTTTTCAATATAATATCAATAAAATAACACAATCTATTTTATTTTTTGAGTACAATCAACAACGTAGTCAAAACCAGCCATGTCACAGCCTTAACATGCAAAACCCTACATGTCCAAATTAAAATACCAGTTTACAAGAAAACTCATTGAATTAGTTTTTTAAGCAAGGTATCATCAAGAAATAATGCACCAGATAATTATAATGTTTTAGATTTATTATTTTTTTACATTTTATGGTGTATTCTGTAAAACCCGTTTAATAGATTTGTCGGGTTTTGCATTTAGACGCCTAATAATATTGTGTCACAAAAACATACTTTTTCAAAAGATATTTTTAGGATTTATGCATTTTGGATGAGTGTATAAGTTTATCTGAAATTCAAAATCCAGGCTTAGTGACCAAGAAGTTATATCTTACATTATTCATTGCTAATTTATAAGGTCATATTTCGATAAAATTATTTATTATGTTATAGTACAGGATCCGGCTGCAGTATTATTACATTACGTTAATCATATTTTTAATCAGAATCTAATTTTTACGTATATTTATGGATACGGGAATATACTTTTAACAGGGTGCCAATCAAAAAATTGCCGCAAATAGGGGTTGCCACATTTCATTCTTTTCTAATACTTTATACGGGCCCGGTAATAGTGCGTCGGGCATCTATAGCTCATATAATAAAAAAGTTTCAAGGCCGATCATCTCAAATAAGCAGGAATACTTTTTTTGAATAATATTTTAACCGAGAAAATATTTTATTGCTATTCAACAAAAAACATCACAAGAATGTAGCTATGTACAATGGCTATATGCTCCTTATGTTAACAAAATAATTAGGAAATATATAAGCAATCAGTTGCAAAATTTGATCTGTCAAGAAAACTCCCTAGGACTTTTTATAAATGTCAATATTAAAGTTGTATACCGTGCTAATTCACAATTAGAGCAAGTATTAGGTAAGCCTACTGATAAATTACCTTCATTACTTGGAGTATTGGGTCTTTATAAAATACCATGCAATTCCATAGAAATATCATGGATTAGTCAAAGAAAAAAAATTGGTCAAGTGCGAGTCGGACTCGCGTACGAAGGGTTCCGTACCATTCATTGTCTATACAACATTAGACACTATATTATTATAAACTTTTTTTCCGATTTAGCTGAAATTTTGAATGCGCGTATAAGTAATTTAAAAAAAATGAAGAAACACATTAATAAAAATTGTATTAATCAATAATAGATATGTAAAAAGTAAAAATAAATATGTAGAAATTAAAAAAACGATTAAAAAAAGTCGCCTTGACTAGGATTCGAACCTGCCTTACTACGGTTCTAACGTCATAGCAGCGTAAAGTCCTAACGCTTTAACCACGCGGCCACCGAGGACTTAAAAGATTCTATGTAAAATTCTTACTTAAAAGATAATGTTTAGTGAAAGTACTTTTTTATTTATAAACATTTATTTAATTCTGTTTTTAGTATTTGTTCTTATAGCGGCAACATAGATATATTATCTGTGAAAATTTCAACTGTCTAGCTATAACGGTTCATAAGATAGACCTTTGTGACAGACGGACGGATAGCGAAGTCTTAGTAATAGGATTCCCGTTTTTACCCTTTGGGTACGGAACCCTAAAAAAGGCTGTCTAAATATAAAACCGGAATCAAAGAACATATCTTCAATAATGCTTCAACACAGTTTTGGTAAAAAAAACTATTGCATATACATATATTAATAGTTTAAAATGTATCAAAAATTTAACAATTACATGGAATTAACGTTTGTGGGAGCATGAAAATGAATAACTGAATAGAAAATCCGAAATATGTAATTGTCCTTTAACTTCTTGTTCTCATTTTCCATAAATCTGTTTTGTTAATTAAAAAAAATCACAAAGCACAAAATAGACATTAAAAAAATACCAAAGCATAAAATGAATATATTCTAAGACTAAACCTTACTTGTAAGATAGTAATCCAGCTTCCGCGATACTAAATGTTTCTTCAATTAGATGAGTCCTATCCATAACTGACAACTCACTGTATCTATTAATTAATGTTTGCCACTGTTCGTTATCATAATTGACTCTATAATATCCAATTTGATCAAAATTAAACTTTAACCATTGAACGCCGTCGGGTTTCTTGATCTGAACTAAAAGAACCATATTTATGTAATAGGTTTTAATTAAAAATGAAGTTAAAAATCCATACAAAATAAATATGTACTTACTACTCTCTTCATTATAGGGAAAAAATATTTTTTCTGTAGATTTGCCTTGGTCGCTTACGTATGTAATTGGTATTGTCCACTTATATCTGCAATATATTAAAAGTTTATATTCTGAGAATAAACAAAATTAATTATTAGGTGTGAATAAAAATATATACAGGGTGGCGCACCTCATTCGCCTCGGTTGATTATACGAAAACGGAAAGATGTAGAAAGAAAATATTCTACGGGTATATGTGGGGAGACAATGTGCACAATTTAAAATTATTTTGAAATATACAGGGTGTTTCAGAACTAAGATCCATACCAAAGTTATATTTTTTCTTATGGAACACCCTGTATTTTATTTCATTTTTGGATTCCTGGGCCCAAAAAAAGGCATTTATTATAAGGGTTAAATATATTTAAAATCTTTGGTTTTTGAGATATTTAAAGATATTTAAATTTGCATGCTACAATAGAATAGATTATTAACACCCTGTTCCTTACTATTCAGAATTAATTCATATGCTGAGTTTAAAAGTAGAGAAATAAACTTTACTGAAAAATGGCATTGCTTCCTAAAATTTATACAGGGCTATCAAAAGTAGTTCATCTGATTTAAGAATATATTTTATATGAAAACTTCGTTATTTCAAATGCAACACTCTGTATTTTTTTAAATAAATCATAGCAGATTCAAATGCTCTTTCAAACTGTATTAGGGTTTCCTATACCTATCTAGCTCAGATTTTGCATAAAAAGTGATTTTTAAATAAAATTGTAATGCAGATAGGCTGGTATCGCTATGGCAATTTTATAGTGACAGTGAGTAACTATTTCCAAAGTCGACATTAGTTTATGGACATTATTATTTATAATTTATAACAGATTAATTAAATTTACCTACAATAGTTTAATAAATAAGTATTCATTATGTTATCAAGAAAAAAAAAGCGGTATCTGCTGGTGGACGAATAGAACTGTTACTCGTGATTTTATTTTGTGAGGAAAATTGCTTCTTGGCCTCAAGGGCTTATGCTTAAAGATGTCCAAATAAAAATCTTCCTGATAAGCGTTCCTTTGAAAAACTACTTGTCCTATTTCGCAGAGCTGGTAGTGTGATTTCTAAAAAAAACTATTAGGCAGAAACCTGTCATTGGAAGTGAAGAAAATGAATTTGCCATAATTGGCTCTTTTATAGAAAATCCATATATCTACAAGTCATCGTAAAATAAATCAAAGAACTACTTCTTCGTCTTTCTTAACAGAGTAATAAATACATATTTAATAACTATTATTTATTAAACTATTGTAGGTAAATTAAATAAAAGTAAACTGGTATAAATTTAAATAAGTCCATAAACTAATTTCAATTTTGAAAATAGCTACTAACTGTCAATAGAAACTTGCCATGACGACACTAACCCTTTTGGTTGCCATTTTATTGAAAAATTGATCTTTATTCAAAATCTGAGCTAGTTAGGTATAGGAAACCCTAATATGGTTTGAGAGAGAGAGAGAGATATGTGTTAAAGACGCATCGACTGTAGAGTCTTTTAGCGTCACTTTATCCCATTATTTATATATTTTTATATATGTCGATATCCTTTATATAATCCAACATAGCCTTATTATTTTGGTAGGAAAGGGCTACCTCAGGGTTATCCACGATACCGTGTTGTCTTCGTTTTAACGCGTTCTTTGGGCATTCAAAGATAATGTGTTTGACAGATATTGGAAGATTACATGTTTCACAAATGGGCTGATTCTGTCCTTTAAGGAGGTGTTCATGGGTAAGTTTCGTGTGTCCTAAACGAATTCTAGTGAGCACAACGAAATCTCTTCTAGGTAAGTTAATTACATTATTTTCAAAATAGTCCCTTTTGATTTCATGAAGCTTATTATCATTCATGTCTAAGTCCCATTCTAGTGGATTATATTATCGATCATATGTTTGCCATAATTCTTTAGATCTTGCACGGAGAAAACGAGGTTGGTTTTATGAGGGTTGGGAGTTTTTGCAGCCAAGTAATCAGCTCTGTCATTGCCAGGAATTCCTATGTGGCTCGGAAGCCAAAGGAAAGTGACGCTGTAGTGGTTGATATTGACCTTCTGTAGAAGCATTTTGATTGCCATAACTAGTGGATTGTTGGAGTAGAAAGTGGAGATATTTGAAATGGAACTCAATGAATCGGTAGCCACGACCCATCTCTTATAGCTGGAGGTCAATATATGTTGAATGGCCTTAAATATTGCAAAAAGCTCTGCAGAGAATATTCCCGTTATGGGACTTAGTGAGAAACACATTTCTTTATCAAACGTATGAAAAGCCGCTCCAGTGTGCCTATCAGTTTTCGAACCATCGGTGTAAACCAGTCGATTACTCTTGTACTTCGAGTTGATGAGATCTTTGAATTGTGCTCTTATAGTGAGATGTGAGCATTCCTTTTTGTTGTGGACTTTGAGTGATAGGTCAAGCGAGAGTGGGTGCAGACTCCATGGTGGAAACATACGGGAGAATGGCGCAATATTGAAAGGAGGAGGCAAATCGATTGACAGTCTTTCCTTTATATCTACATAACGGTGGTGTGATGCTGATTGATACTGTTTGTATCTATGTTTGATTTGGGGGTAAATAATTTTGAAGAATTTTTTGTGATTAGGGTGTTCCAGATTAACATGTAGACCAAACGCATATGCTAATAGGTGTCGTTCTCTAATATAATTTAGTGTGAGTTGTTCTGATTCACACATTAAGCCTGGTATGGGACTCGTGTGAAAAGCGCCCAGTGATTTCCTGATTCCCATGTTATGTCCCGCGTTCAGCTTATTTAAATAAGACCGCGGTGCAGACGCGTAAACTTGAGACCCGTAATTGATTTTGGATCAGACACAAGCATTGTACACCCTCAAAAGAGAAACATGATCTGACCCCCAGGTGGTGCCAGATAGAATTTTAATAATATTAAGATTAGTTTGGCATTTAGAGATTAAGTTACTGATATGAGTTTTGAAATTGAGAAGTGTGTCAAAGGTAATGCCAAGAAATCGTTGTTCATGCTGGGAGTTTATTCGTTCAGAGTCAATATATAGATTAACGGTCTTCGAGCAGTTTCTTTGGCGGCAGAAATGAACTGCAGCCGATTTGGAAGCAGAAAGGGATAAGTTTTTCCCCGTACACCATTTTGTAAGTTTATTTAGTGAAGTTTGTATGATGTTCTGACTGTATCCTGCTTCCGTAAAGGAATGATATATTACGATATCATCCGCGAACATTCTGAGAGAAACCCGTTTATCCAATGATGATCTGATATCGTTCACAGCAAGAAGAAATAACGTCGGGCTAATAGACGAACCCTGTGGGATTCCGCCATTGTGTGGGAAGATCTCAGAGACTGCATGCCCAATTCGAACCTTAAAGAATCTATCGCTCAAGAAACTATTTACGAATTTAAACATATTTCCCGTAATATCGAATTTTGTCAGGCTATACAGTATTGTGGCGTGATCAATATTATCGAAAGCTTTATCTATGTCAAGGAAAGCCGCTGTCAGATGTTTTTTAAATCTCATCGAATCTTGAACATCTATCTCAAAGCCAATTAGATGATCAATTGCGGATCTGTCTTTTCTATATGCAAACTGGTCTGGTAGTAAATGACCATGTTATTCTAAGTACCAGCTTAGGCGGAAGTTTATTATTTTCTCAAGAATCTTACATAAATGTGGCGTAAGGCTGATGGGCCTGTAGGCATCTGGATTGGTGATGGTTTTACCCTGTTTATGAATGGGCAAAGGATTGATGTTTTCCATGCTGTGGGAATATATGATGCATCCCAGATTTTATTAAATAATTCAAGTATGCAGTTAAGTCCAGACGCGGCGGCAGGTTTTTAATCATACTTATTCTGATACCATCCAATCCTGGGGAGGTATCTTTGCTGCGGTGTAATGCATAAGTCAGTTCAGAGAGTGATAAAGGTAAATTGTACACCATATTCTTTGAGTTAGGTGTGCTTATATGAGTTGGCATATAGTGTCGGTTGTAATGGGTGGCAAATACCTGCGAGATATCCTTGGGGTCTGTCACCCATTCATTATTAGACAATATGCCGGTTATATTCCTTGAGGGTCTGCACTTTAAGCTGTTAATTTTGTTTCAGATAACTTTGCTAGGCGTGCACTCATTTATAGAAGAAGTAAACTCATTCCAACTGGATTTTTTGGCTTTTTTAATAGTAAGTTTTGATAGTGCTCTCATTTTCTTGTATTTGGTAAAGTTTTCAGGAGTTGGGTGATGTTTGAACCGATTGAGTGCAGTTTTGCGCATTTTAATACATTGCTTACAGTCCTCATTCCACCAGGGAACGGGATCTTTATTTATGTTACAGTTAAATTTTGGGATTGAGAGTTCTGCTGCTTTAAGTATAGCTGTTGTGATGCTAGAGGTTGCCTCGTCAATGCTTAGTTGTGAGATTTTAGGGGGTATAAATATGTTATTATACTTTAACCAGTCAGCCTTATAAGTGTTAAATTTGGGTATTTCAGTACTGGCAGTTGACCAGTTGACAGGTGCAAGCATGGTAGGTATATGATCGCTACCATAGGTGTCATCCAGTGTGCTCCAATGGAAAGAAGAAGCAAGCGAAGAACTGGCTAGTGTCAGGTCAAGATTAGAGAAGGACGCCGTGCTTGATGAAATGAATGTGTGAGATCCATCATTAAATAAATGCAAGTGAAGGTTTTCTATAATATTAGCAATTGCTGCACCTCTACGGCTAGTTGAGTTAGAGCCCCAAAGAGAGTTATGAGCATTCATATCTCCAACAATTATGAATGGTGTAGGGAGCTGGTTTAGTAGGTTTGTGAACATATTATCAGTTAGCGTAAAAGACGGGGGTATATAGAGACTGCACACAGTAACTTTCATGGGAAGATATGTCGAAACCGCGCATGCTTCCAGTGGTGACGTGATTTGAATATCAGTGTATGGTAGAGAATTATGTATCAAGAGGGCAACGCCACCCGATGCTCTAGCACAATCTATGCGGTCTTTCCTGATGATATCAAAAGCCTTTACGGAGAATTTATTAGATGGCTTAAGGTTAGTTTCTTGAAGGGACAGGATTTTTGGACGATAGAGTCCCAATATAATCTTAATTTCTTCGAAGTGTGTATTAATCCCATTACAATTCCAGTGAATTATTGTATCGAAGATGATGAAAGTGTATCCATCTTCTCATAGTATTTTGTGTTGGTTATATGTTTTATATTTAATTTCTTTGTAGTGGGTTTGGGATTATTTGGTTCAGTAGTATTAGAATTGCTTTTTTGTTTAGGCGAGACTTTAGTTGATTTGGTTGAGCTTGTGTCTGAGGATTTTGATTTTGATGAGCAATTTGAATTGATTGAGGAGGAAGAATTTGATTTTTTGATAGTGTGAGCGCCAGTGGAGGCTCGGGAAAGGGTAACTGGGGTATTTTTATGGGTAGAAGCTGTAGAAGGGATAGGTAATGTTGGAGGGGGAGGGGGAGGGGTAATAAATTTATCATGTTTGATGGGGATTTGTTTTGATTTGGAGGATTGTTGGGACAGGGTTTCAATGGTGAGCCTGGGAGTGGGCGTTTGAGAAGGTTTTTTTTGTTGTGTAGTTGTTTTAATTGCTGACATGATTTCTGCATAGGATGGCCCATATTTTGAAGGGTTACTTTCTACTGCTTTTTTCGCCTCAAAGTAGCTTAGTTTTTGAGTGACTTTAACTTTCTGTATCATGGTTTCTTACTTATAGATGACGCAACCTTTATATCTAGGGGAGTGATTCTCGCCGCAATTGACGCAATAAGGGGGCGGATTACAATTACTTTCGTGCTTGTCTTTTCCACAAGATGGGCATGTGGCTTCGTATCTACAGTATGTGGAAAGGTGTCCTATTCTTTGGCAGTTAAAACATCTTCTTGGGTTTGGTATAAATTGTCTTACTTTACAGCGACGATAGCCTACATAAAAATATTCTGGTAGAGTTAAACTGTGTAGAGTAATAATGTACGTGTTCGTAGGTACAAGTTCACCATTTACTTTCCGTTTGATTTGGGTTATGTCAATCAGATTTTGTTCTGAGCATTCATCAAGTATTTCTTGCTTATCTTTACAATATTGCAGGTTACTACAGGATATGACTCCTTTAATGTTATTTAGTGAAGGATGTGAGGTAACTCTGCACTCTAAATTGCCAATCTTATTAATTTCAAAAAGTTTGTTTGCATGCTGCGGATCGAGTAGTTCAATTAGTAAATCGCCGCTTCGCAGTTTGCTAACATTTTTATACTTCGGAACTTTCTCTACAATATTTTTATGTATGACAAAAGGAGACATAGTACTAAAGCTATCAGTTTCCAAATTTGGACGTATCAGAAAAAAATTATCATGTTTTGTGATGTCATCAACCTCACTAGACGAGTCAGATGTGCTAGCTCTAAATCTTTTATAATTTCCTGAACTCTGATCACCAGTTTGAGAAAAAGGCGCACTGGCCTGGTTATCCACCAGTTTTGCCTTGGAAGGTAATTTAGGAAAATCTGAAATATTCATATTGTTCCTACGAGCAGCTAGGGAAAAAAGAAGTCGATCCAATCAGAGCCCCGCTTGACCAGACAAGGCTAATTACTGCCAGATTTCGCCTGGTGTCTGACAGGAACCGTTCGAGACTCAACAGAAGAGCCATTCATCCCCTGAGCACGGTATCTAACACCTTAGGATTGCTATAATGCTAACATATAGGACAATACAGGACATCACAAACGGACTAGGGTACCTCGGGGTCGTCAGATCCCGTACAATGTGACCTTTTGGCCTCAAAGTCCCCTGAGGGGAAATAATATGGTTTGAAAGAGCATTTGAATCTGCTTCCAGTTATTTAAAAAAATACAGGGTGTTGTGTTTGAAATAACGAAGTTTTTATGTAAAATATATTCTTAAAATAGATCAGCAAATTTTGATACCCCTGTATAAATTTAAGGAAGCAATAACATTTTTCTCTACCTTTAAACTCAGCATAAGAATTAATTCTGAAAAGTAATGTACAGGATGTTAATAATGTATTTTATTGTAGCATGCAAATTTAAATGTCTTTAAATATCTCAAAAACCAAAGATTTTAAAGATATTTAACCCTTATAATAAATGCCTTTTTTTGGGCCCAGGAATCCAAAAATAAAATAAAATACAGGGTGTTCCATAAGAAAAAGTATAACTTTGGAATGGATCTTAGTTCTAAAACACCCTGTATATTTCAAAATAATTTTAAATTGTGCACATTGCTTCCCCACATATACCCATAAAATATTTTGTTTCTACATCTTTCCGTTTTCGTATAATCACCCGAGGCGAATGAGGTGCGCCACCCTGTATAATTAGATGTGAATATCTAATAGGGTTACCAAGTTTTTACATATTATACTTTTAACTCTTTTTCTGCAATATATCTAACTGTTATGCGAACTCCCTATGTGAATTTGTTCTCGTTTATTCAGCAACTATTTCCAACTGTCAACACTATTTTATACTTTATCTTAGAAACATATTATGCTTAATCTGGAAGACCGATAGAAAATGTATGAACGATCGAAAAAAAAATTACGTCAAGATGGCGTGGAAATAACGATCGATGACATTAGCCATACAGTTTTACGCATAAAATGACAGAGATCTTTAATTCCAGACCAATACTGGGGCCTTTTTTTCGATTGTAAGGTTTTTTACCCGTATGTAATATTGGAAGTATCATAAGTAGCATCTGGATCTTTTAAAAATCTCTTTTGAGTTAAGGTATAATTTCCAGTTGTTGCATCATACGTGACGTTCACGATTGGGTATCCCATTTGTGCAGTAAAAGTATCCATCATTTCAGAAATATTAAAAGTACTTCCTATCTAAAAAATATTATTTATTAATGAGTTCTTAATATATCCGTGTACTATATTTTATTATACCACGGATTGAATTTCATCCAAAAAATGTTTTGTAACTGCATTACCATAAGCATATTTCTCTAAGTAACTTTTCACGCCCTTCTGAAAATTTGTTTCGCCTACTGTATCTTCTAACATACGAAGTATAGAAGCACCCTAAAATAAAATACATCATAATCGGCTATCCTTCTTTCTAGTAATATGAAATATAATGCAACTTAATGAGATATCAACATGAATAATACGCAAAATACCTTATTATATGAAATAGTATCAAAAATAGAGGTAATTTCATCTGGTGTGGTCACAGTTACTACTATTGCATGAGAAGATAAAGTTGCATCTAATGACAAAACTGGATGCAGATCAGAAGTTTGAAATTGAGACATCTAAAAAAAATAAAAATTATATTTTATGGTTGCCGAGATATTAAAACTGTACCATATTCCATGTAGGCTCGGCAGCGTCTGTCCCCTTAAACTCTATATAACTTGCAAACCCCTCGTTTAACCACAGATCATTCCACCAATCCATTGTAACTACACAAATAAAAACAACAAATTAATAATTAGATATTATTGTAGCATTTAAATGGGTAAATCGTCTTAAATACAAAATGTGCAGATCTACTTAAACGATGCGATCCAGTCACAAGAATCTTAGTCTTCATTTGTTTTTGGCGGGGAAAAACACGTCAAGGATGTCGAATCCCAGTTTAAATAGGGCGCTCAATATGCGGAACACTTCTAACTACCAACTTTCCTTCTTAGCGTCAGTGAAACGTGCTAACCTGCTAACTCCATTTTTTACATTAATTAAATAATTTTCATACGTAAGTCATACGTTTAATACAAAATTTCTACGTTAAATTTTTAACAAAATATTGAGTTTTATTGTTCCACAACGAGTTCCCCAACAAATATTATTGTTATCTCTTTATTATATTAACGCATGAATATACTTGCTACATGTGTACATATTTTTTACAGTTTTTTTTGCACTTCTGTAAAATTATGAATAATGGAGTTATATATAAGGTCGCACACTAAATCGAGGCGCGTCGGCGAGGCGTCGCCATGTGGAAATTTCTTTTTTGTCTGCTTGCCATGTATTTAAATGGAGCAACGCACATTAGAGCGCGCAGCGACGAAGCGCGCCGCGGTATTTCCGTCAAGAAGTCGGAAGACTTCTTTAGCAACTTTTTTCCGTCTCCCGCGTTTCGGCGCGTGGCAGTGTGCGTACTCACAACAGAAATAATTTTGTATCTCGAATCTCTTCAGTTGGCTTTTTGACTAGGAACTAGTGATACCTATCAATGATAGAATTGTATTTTTAAAGGTAAATTAGGCAAACAGATTTTCATAAAGGAATATTATATTTTTTTAGTCTTTCCTCACTAGAGACAGATGGACAAAATGTTTTTCTATCAAAGATTTAATATAATTGAGTGGTGTAGAAGCAAAACCGGCAATCTCCACTTTTTGACAAAAGTGACAATCTCCAATTTTTTTATTCTAATTACCTAAATATATAAAAAAATTATGGTTTTTTCATAAACGATTCATTATTACATTATTAGTAATTTGTCTCTTCAGAAAAAATATGATGAGTAGAGATACCCGGTGTTTTGCTTCTAAAACCCTCAATTGAGGAGTTCGTAAAATGTTTCCTTTATATTTTATAATACTGAAAAATGTCATGTCTTTTAATAAATCAGGAAAAAGATGGTAAAATTCTCCAAACTTCTTTTTTTGTTAATCTTATGAGTCCAAACTTTCCTTTTCTTCTTCACCTGCTCTTCCTCTTCCTCTGTTAGAAAAGCACAAAAAATACGCTTTCGTCCGTACTTGTACTCATTGCTTTAAAAACTAAACTACAGTAAGTAAAAAACACTTCGACTAACTAAATAGCGTTTCCGCGTTTCAAAAGCGCGCTATAGTGGGCGCAGTCCCTTCGCAGCCGGAAAAAAATCTCTTCCCAGCGCCGCCGCCGCGCCGCGGTCTAGTGGGCGACAACCTGTAGTTGTTTGACACATTTCACCGACGATAAAAATATCGTAGTTTTTGTTTTAGTAAAAATAAAATTCGACTGGTCCTGTTATTAAGTTATTAGGAGAAAATATTTTTTGATTTTTCATTTTCGATTATTTTAAATTCGATAACTTAGTACCTAATAAAAAACATTTTGCGAACTTTTTGGCGGTCGCTGAATTTGCTTACCTAAGTTTCCAAACCAACTGTGAGCCAGTTCATGGGCTATTACGGTGGCCACCCTTTGTTTATTAGATGAGGAATGCGTAGAATCGGTGTATAACAATGCTGTTTCTCGGTAAGTAACTAAGCCCCAATGCTCCATTGCACCAGATACAAAATCAGGAATAGCAACCATATCTGAAAAATTGTTTTTAAGTTATGGCTTGCTAACTCTAAAATGCTTATTATTTTAGAGTTAAACAAAAAATATGCTAACATTAAGTTTCATATTGTTTCGATATATAAAATAACATAGGTACTATAATAAAATAGCATCTTGATAAGCATCCTTTCTAAAAATATATTTATAAAAGTAACAAGCCGTGAAAAATTCCTTAAAAACATAAAATACGACTTCACCTGGTCGTCCTAAAAAAGGACAGAGAATAAAAAAAACCTTTGAAATAAAATATCATGTTACTTTATGTCAATATATACTTTCACCGAATATACTATGCTAACTAAAGCCTGTAGGACCTTCAAAGTTAGATGTAGAAGAAAAGTTTACGTTATGATTGACATGGTACAATTCAACACTGACATTCTATAATCAAAGTACTCTTTTAGGGTTAAGCTGATTGAGGTACCTAATCATCTAAACAGCAGACTTATGATCTGCTACTACACACCAAACACTGAATAAATTATAATGTGTAACATATGACATGGATGTCGACTTCACGTTTCGTTTGAATTATGATCGATTGTCTTTCCCCAGTCGTCCTAGACGCCTTTATTTTTTTGACCATGCGATATTTATTATTTTAGGAAAAGACCATCGTTAACTTACTTACCTAATTTTGGTAGTGGATAAGGTATGCCAAAATAAGTAACATAATATTCAATAACTTTTTTTGCAGTCTCTCCGGCATATGTCGTTTTATCTATATTTCCTGGACTAGCATACACCCTAAGAGGTGTTAAAGTTCCTAAAGAAAATATAATATTAGTATCAACTAATAATCAATAAATATTTTAAACAGAAATGATATGCATTTTTTTAGTTTTGTAAACAATCAAGATTGCAAGGGATTAATCAAGATATACTACAAATCTAAAAAGTTTTATCATATTAAGTCTTATAAATCTAATAAAATAACTAAGCATCTTATCAAAAATCATTATACTGGATCGACATTTTTGGCCTTGGGTGCCGATTTTCGTGTGCACCAAGAGTACGGTCAATACGCTCAGTACCGAATAAAGAAAGAAGAGCAGGTATTTTCCCAAGCGCATGAAATTTAGCGTCAGAATAACTGGTTACGTAATAAAAACTTAGCATTTTTCTCTCTCCGACTTACTAGATCGACAAAGCGATTCAATCCTAGACATATAAACACCGACCCAAGACTTCGATTGCCGATAGGGTATACTTATTCAATAAAAGCTTAGTTTGTAAAAACATTATAATCTCACCATCATTTTCAAATGTAGTATTAGTGTAGGTAAAATCTGAAACTATAAAACATGTTAAATAAGTAGACATTGATACTGTTTCTTCAAAGGTAACTAGATCGCTTGAATCGTCGTAGCTCTCAGTTTTCTAAAACAAAAAATTATGTTGTTAAAAAATATATAATCAGGTTTTTAACAAGTAATAATAAGGTTTTTAACAAGTAATTAAGTAAACTGCTAAAATAAACCTGTTGCCATGAAGAAACGACCTGGGCATTGTGTTGATGCTTCAACGAACAGCTACAATGCACGTTAGAGATATCTGAGAGGAATACCGTTATTTGAGACCAATAAAGGTAGACTAAAAAGAATGGAGAATGTTTGTCCAAAAAATGTTCTGGAAAATTACCAGAAGACTAGATGGGCGAAGGGATGACGACAAGACCAGTAAGATAACCTAAATATTGGAGAATTATTTCGGCTGAAGGAAAGAAACGAGAAAAGGCCACATGGGAGAGTATGTCAAATACAAAAAAATCCTTGAAAGTTCTCTGGTATCAATGAGATTAAATGGGTATTAAAATGGTTAATCAGGTATTAGATCCTGTTCACGGTCACAAAATAAAAAAGCACAAAAACAAATATACAAATAATAAAAAAAAATGTTATACAATACAAATCAATTCAAAAAAAAAATACGTATATACCCATTCTAGAGGTTGATGAGTTAAGTTCCTTAGAAACTGATCTTAGCGCAAAATAGGCAGCGCTTAGTTTCTTTGATAAAGCTTCGAGGTGCAAGTCCCATTTTAACGAGTTGTCTACAACAAGTCCTAAGAATCTCACAGAGTTCGTATAACGTTGATTTTTTACGTGAGATAGCTACAGTCAATCTCACTACGACCAAAGAACTAAGTAAACAGATTTTAAGCGAAACAATATGGTTTGGTTGTACAGCCGACAACACAAGCAGGAGATATCTCTGATATTAACACTGACCTAAAAAGACCGTACACTGTCGTTAGAAGGTTAAACGATGTTTGTAATGGATTTAATATAGCCCTAGAAGTTAGATAAAAGTAGTTTACCTAGGATTGCTAGCCAGCGTAGCGACATTTCGTGTTGAAATGAGAAAACGCCAGCTTTGGGAAAAAAATAATTGTTTAGCGATATTTCTAATAGAAAAATACAGATGATGATAAATGCTAACGAGAAGTAGCGCTAGATGCATAGAAAATTGTCATAATTATATTACTTTTAAATAATCGTAACAACAGATAGATTTACTACAGGTCATTTTATGAACGAGTCCCATTTGAAAAATTAATATAAGTATTACTTCTTATAGTTATTATAACTTTTAGAGTTATATATTTATATATATATATATATATATATATATATATATATATATATATATATATATATATATATATATATATTTGATTTATCGAGCCAGCTTGCATAAGAGCGATATTTCTAACACATGTAGTATCTAAGTTTCCAAAATAAAAGGAAAACATATAATCGTTAAATACGAGGGGTAAACCGCAGGATAAAATGTGTACACTAACTAATTCCCAAAATTTATACTAATTCCCCACTAATTCCCAACTAATTCCTCTAATTCCCCAACTAATTCCCCTAATTCCCAATTAATTCCTCTAATTCCCATCTAATTCCTATAATTCTCCAACTAATTCCCCTAATTCCCAACTAATTCCCCTACTATTACAGTTGAGGGTTGGAACCTTTGGTGTTAAACAGCAAAATAAAAACACTAAATCACCACAATACACCAAAACACTTTTACTTTTACACTGGACGCGCGTTTCGCTAACCATGTTAGCATCATCAGCAGATGATTATAAACTAAAGTACAATCTACAAGTTGAGCGTTTATATACTCGCCCAGTGGGCACCGAGTGGGCGTGGCAAAAACTAGCCAACCGAGTCAGAGCCAACTGAGCGTAACAGTTAGATTTCCGCCACTAGAGTAGTAGGAACAAAAGAGCTTGAAGGAATTGGACCGTTGTCTCTGTTCATACTATCTTTACATTTATTAATTCTGATGCTTTCATATGCATCTAATTGCCTGTAATTTGAGACTTGTTTAATTAATTTTAAATTATTAAGATCTATACAATGTTCTTTATGAACAATATGTTCGGCAACGCAAGATTTATCCGGTTTACCATATCTTATCTGAGCTAAATGTTCTTTAAATCTAGTTAATATTGATTTTCTAGTTTGCCCAACATATTTCTGATTACAATCTTTACAAGAAATTTCATAAATACCCGACCTTTCCAGTGGAGGTGTTTTATCCTTTGGATTACCTAATAATTGTTGTAATTTATTATTAGCACTATACACAAGTTTATAATTTACATTCTTCAAAATTCCTTTTAGACCACGGGATAACTCTCTATCAAACGGCATCGAAAAATATTTAGACGTGTCTTTCTCCACTTGAAAAGTCGAATTTTCAGAAATCATTAACCTATACCTACGTTTTCTAATTAATTTATCAACTAGTGAAGGAGAATATCCATTACACTCAGCTACATTCCTAATGTAATCTCTTTCTATTTCATATCTTTCTTTGGAAAGTGGGAAACTAAGTTATCTATGAACTAGGAAATTTAAACTAGCCATTTTATGTTCAACACTATGATGTGATTCATTAGGAATATATCTGCGTGTGGTCGTATTTTTCCTATAGATATTAAATTCCAGGCAATTATTAATATTTCTAATAACTCATACATCTAGAAATGGTAATCTGTCGTTGTTCTCAATTTCATGCGTAAATTTAATGGAAGGAAAACGATTATTAACTTAGAAATAAAATTATCTATGGTGTCTGAATGTGTGTCAAAAACAGCAAAAATATCATCCACATACCTAAACCAAACTCTTGGAAAATACTCAAACTGATTCTTAGCCTCCACTTCAAACCTGCTCATGAATAAATTAGCCAAAAATGGAGACAATGGATTACCCATTGCTGTACCTTCCCGCTGTTCAAAAAAGTTGTTATTAAATTGAAAACAATTTTGTTTCATACATAACGATGTAAGCTCAATATATTCAGTCACAGTTTTGTTGTCGAGACCATTTGCGTTCAGTAATTCCTTCAAGTAGCCTAAAGTATGTGGAATTGGAACACTTGGGAACAACGAAGATACATCAAAGGAGACCAAAATTTCACCTTCATGCAATGTTATATCTTTAATTTTGTTAATGAATTCAATATTATTTTTAACTGAGAAAGAAGGTTCATGATCAGGTAAATTTTCGAACTCCCTTGATAACCATTTTGCCAAATTATAAGTCGGAGAACCTACAGCCGAAACAATTGGGCGCATAGACTTGTCCGGCTTATGAATTTTTGGCAAAGCATACAATTTTGGTAATGAGGGATTGGATACTTGCAATTTCCTCTTTAAAGAAAGATCAATAAGGGTGTTACATTCTTTTAGAGTTTTTTTAACGTCTGCTACCATCTTAGACAAGGGATTCTTTTTCAAATTTATGTAGGGGCCATTATCGATTAAGTTGTTAACCTTATCATAATAGTCTTTTTTATCTAATATAACAACCTTATTTCCCTTATCAGCTTTTAGATAGAAACAATCTTTGTTACGCAAACTCTTGACAATATTGTGCTCTTTGTTAGATTTTAATGAATTACTTGAAACAATATTTTTTGATAACTGATTTCTACAAGCCTCTCTTGCAAATACTTTAGAAGCCTCGGGCAAGTGCTGAATAGCAGTTTCAACACCAACGACGATTTCCTCCAAAGCGCTACCAGAGTTGGGCAATGCAAACTTTAAACCTTTGTTTAATAAACTGAGCTCTTGTTTATCAAAAGTCTGCGAAGAAAGATTCTCTACTATGTTTATGTCTCTTTGGAAAACATGTTTGTTTTTAGAGTTTTTTAATTTTTTAAACTTACTATTCAAAACAAGAGCTCAGTTTATTAAACAAAGGTTTAAAGTTTACATTGCCCAACTCTGGTAGCGCTTTGGAGGAAATCGTCGTTGGTGTTGAAACTGCTATTCAGCACTTGCCCGAGGCTTCTAAAGTATTTGCAAGAGAGGCTTGTAGAAATCAGTTATCAAAAAATATCGTTTCAAGTAAATCATTAAAATCTAACAAGGATCACAATACTGTCAAAAGTTTGCGTAACAAAGATTGTTTCTACCTTAAGGGAAATAAGGTTGTTATATTAGATAAAAAGACTATTACGATAAGGTTAACAACTTAATCGATAATGGCCCCTACATAAATTTGCAAAAAAGAATCCTTTGTCTAAGATGGTAGCAGACGTTAAAAAACTCTAAAAGAATGTAACACCCTTTATTGGTCTTTTCTTTAAAGAGGAAATTGCAAGTATCCAATCCCTCATTACCAAAATTGTATGCTTTGCCAAAATTCATAAACCGGACAAGTCTATGCGCCCAATTGTATCGGCTGTAGGTTCTCCGACTTATAACTTGGCAAAATGGTTATCAAGGGAGTTTGAAAATTTACCTGATCAGGAACCTTCTTTCGCAGTTAAAAAATAATATTGAATTCATTAACAAAATTAAAGATATAACATTGCATGAAGGTGAAATCTTGGTCTCCTTTTGATGTATCTTCGTTGTTCCCAAGTGTTCCAATTCCACATACTTTAGGCTACTTGAAGGAATTACTGAACGCAAATGGTCCCTGATAACAAAACTGTGACTGAATATATTGAGCTTACATCGTTATGTATGAAACAAAATTGTTTTCAATTTAATAACAACTTTTTTGAACAGCGGGAAGGTACAGCAATGGGTAATCCATTGTCTCCATTTTTGGCTAATTTATTCATGAGCAGGTTTGAAGTGGAGGCTAAGAATCAGTTTGAGTATTTTCCAAGAGTTTGGTTTAGGTATGTGGATGATATTTTGCTGTTTTTGGACACACATTCAGACACCATAGATAATTTTATTTCTAAGTTAAATAATCGTTTTCCTTCCATTAAATTTACTCATGAAATTGAGAACAACGACAGATTACCATTTCTAGATGTATTAGTTATTAGAAATGCTAATAATTGCCTGGAATTTGATATCTATAGAAAAAATACGACCACACGCAGATATATTCCTAATGAAACACATCATAGTGTTGAACATAAAATGGCTAGTTTAAATTTCTTAGTTCATAGATTACTTAGTTTCCCACTTTCCAACGAAAGATATGAAAGAGAAAGAGATTACATTAGGAATGTAGCTGAGTGTAATGGATATTCTCCTTCACTAGTTGATAAATTAATTAGAAAACGTAGGTATAGGTTAATGATTTCTGAAAATTCGACGAGTGGAGAAAGATACGTCTAAATATTTTTCGATACCGTTTGATAGAGAGTTAACCCGTGGTCTAAAAGGAATTTTTAAGAATGTCAATTATAAACTTGTGTATAGTGCTAATAATAAATTACAACAATTATTAGGTAATCCAAAGGATAAAACATCTCCACTGGAAAGGTCGGGTATTTATGAAATTTCTGTAAAGATTGTAATCAGAAATATGTTGGGCAAACTAGAAGATCAATATTAACTAGATTTAAAGAACATTTAGCTCAGATAAGATATGGTAGACCGGATAAATCTTGCGTTGCCGAACATATTGTTGATAAAGAACATTGTATAGATCTTAATAATTTAAAATTAATTAAACAAGTCTCAAATTACAGGCAATTAGATGCATATGAAAGCATCAGAATTAATAAATGTAAAGATAGTATGAACAGAGACAACGGTCCAATTCCTCTTCAAGCTCTTTGTTCCTACTACTCTAGTGGCGGAAATCTAACTGTTACGCTCAGTTGGCTCTGACTCGGTTGGCTAGTTTTTGCCACGCCCACTGGTGCCCACTGGGCGAGTATATAAACGCTCAACTTGTAGATTGTACTTTAGTTTATAATCATCTGCTGATGATGCTAACATGGTTAGCGAAACGCGCGTCCAGTGTAAAAGTAAAAGTGTTTTGGTGTATTGTGGTGATTTAGTGTTTTTATTTTCCCCTACTATTACTAATTTCCTCACCGAAAAACTTACGTAAACTAGGCCACACATGAGGGTAAGTTATTCAACAAATGTCTATAGAGTTTGCTGTAGATATAACCCTCGGTTTTGGAATAAAAAACTCTAAACAAAACACCATATTTTTTTTATCAAAAACATAAAAAGTTAAAAAAACTGAACACACTTCTCGTGGAATATTATGATATTATCGAACAAAAATAAGCGGTTATTGTTTTTTAAATCCTTCATATCTTCTCCTGATATTAATTTGATCTGTCCGCTTCAACTGGAATGGGCCATCACCAATCAAATTTATAGGACCGCAAAGAATAAATTCTTTATGAACGATATCGGTATCTTCCTTCTTTTGCCAAATAAAGGTTGATTCTCACTATACCTTCCGTTTCAATTCCATATCCGTTCCGTATTTTTTATTGTATGGACGCTATACGAAAGATTCCGTTCCGTATCAGTTCCATACTTTTTATTATACAAATTATATCATCACGAAAGTTTTATTTTAAAAACTTGTATCTTTTGAAAAAGGTAATAGATTTAATTAAGAGGTGAAAAAATTAATAAATATCAGCAACATTTTAACAGAGCTGGTACACATGTAAGAACTTGACAACGCCGTTTCCGATACGCTTCAGTTCGTCCGACAAAAAAAATTATGGTAGGAAAGGAAATGGAACGGCAGGGAAACGGAACGGATAGTGTGCACTGTCCTATTCATTTACATGATATAATATTTTATGTTAACGGAAGCAGCTCCCTTCCGTATATATGGAAGGTATAGTGAGAATCGACCTTTAAACTGTCGAGCTCTGCTTTCAGAAATCTGAATTTATAATTTGCATTTCTATCTTCAATAATTCGACCAATAAACCACGACTGGTCATAGAAAACCGCGTAATAGATTTCTAAGTGTATATCGAGTCCGTCAGCCTCCGATAAATTGGAGGGAAGCATTTTCTCTGAAAACTCTTCCGAATCACCGGAGTCGTCGAGTTCCATCAGTCCGAATCAGTTGAGGAGTCAGTGCTCGTGCTATCAGTTTGATCCATAGGTAACTTCTGTTTAGATTTTTTCATTGCCAAGGGCAACTGGGACTTCTTAGAAGCTGTTTTTTTCTGTGTTTTGCTTGCACTTCCTATGAATCTTTTCAGTCGGTCAGTACTCACTCTACCGTTAGACTGTTATAAAAGCCAGCAGTACGATGACTTTTTAATAATCGAAGATTTCTTGCCAAGAGTGAGTTGTATATACGGTGATTTTTCCGATATGCCATGTACTTTTTGGGAAAAATCTTTTAAACTTATGGAACTTAAGTCCGCAACCTTGTCCATAATTATACAATCTTCATTATTGACACAATTTGCTACATCTTGGTCAATTTCATTTTCCTCGGAGTTTTCGTTGAGTTCAACATCATCTTCGTCAATATCTTCGTCCGTTTTTTTATTTTGTCCTTTCTGTCCGTTTTTCTTCAGTCTTGTAAATAATGGTATCTACATATATTTCCAAAACGATTCATATCTTCTACGACCATTTGGAGCGCTTCTTCAACTGTAGTTTTGATATACAAATTGAGGACTTCCTCGTCCAGTGGTAATTTTTCTTCCTTCAGTCTGTTTTTCAATCTATTGTCTTCTCTTGGAAATGCAAAAGTTCCCCTTAGATCATTTATGGTATCATTTATTGTGCTAATTCTTTCAATTAGGTTCAGCATATCCTTTATACTAAAATTGATTACTGTTGAATAAGTAGAGGTCATGGAACTTGCAGAACGAAATAAGGATTCACAGGCTTGGCTACCAAGAATGCCGATGCTTAACATTTCTGGTCTTAACTCGGAGTTTTTATTCTTCGATATCAGTTTAATTAAAGCGTGGACATTCATCTCGATGCAAAGGTAACAATTACTGGTCAAAAATTTTCGATGTTTTGTATTCTTTTTTTTCTTTAATTCAAGCTCTCCAGATTCTAGTAAAGAATACTACATACCAGATGCGATATAGCCGAAGCAAAACAGTGCTGGAATCGAGGAACGACGATTTAACGTAATTCATAAGTTTAAGATACGCCACACTACCTTTACTTTGCTACACTGATACCACTTCCAGTCTGGAACTGACGAAGAATGTAGTGGCTCTGCAGCTTGTGTGTGGAATATGTTTTTTCTGCTAAAGGAGATACCAAATCAGTATTTAAACGCATAGCTCTTAAAAGACGAGGGGCCTTTGAAATTTAATTCACCTTCTTGTAGGGTGTCGATTTTAGCGTCCACGAATCTATTTAGCGTAGAAATTGAGGGCAAGCTATATTTCAAATTTGATTGTAGTGTTTCGTAAAGTAACCTGCCTCTAATATAAAAGAGATACACCGCAAATTTTTTTGTAGCATCATCGTACATATTTTGATTGTTTGAGCAAGTAGAATTTTTGAGTGATACATCTTGCAATATTTTGAGAAGTCGCGGTATATCAGTCTTTTGGTCTGTTTCTAATTCACTTATATTCTCCAAAAGTTACTTCGCTAGTTCACTGTTTTTAATGACTATTTCGCTCAGTTTTTCAGCGATGAAAAAGTAATCCGTGATTAAACTTTTGTCATCTACCAGTTTTTCTCTAGCTCGTCTCTCCCTATCACACCTTTGAGATTTCTTCTATTCCATTTAGATAGAACATTATTCTCATTCTGGATATCGATTTTGTGTAATTTTTTCAATGAGGTATTTGAATCGATGCAGTTACTATCATCTATAAGTGAACAAATTCCCCACTAAATTCCTCTAATTCCTCACTAAATTACTCTAATTCCCCACTAATTCCTCACTAATTCCCCACTAATTCCTCTAATTCCCTACTAATTCCCCACTAATTCCTCTAATTCCCTACTAATTCCCCACTAATTCCTAGAGGTTGAACACCAAAATTCCCCTGCGAAATACCCCTCGGTTAAATATAATCGTCCAATTCTTCTTTGTTTCACACTTTGTTTTTAACTATAATATTATCTTAAATATACTATTTAAGTCACACGTATGATTAGAGAGGTCAAACGCACTGACGACAAGGTTGCTGCGACCAGCCATCGGCCAGGTCATTAAATCAAATGATACAACGCATACTACCGTCCACAACCAAGCCTGGCCTTTGACTGGTCGCTGCGACCTGGTCGTCAGTGCATTTCACCTCTGAAAGAAACAGAAATATTAAATATATTTTAAAAGGCAAATAAATTTCAAGACTTACCGAAACTGGGTAATTTGACAAAGCTATATAATTGGACTGTTTTGGCTTTAAAAGATGAACAATATATTTTGCTTTCATGTTTGGTTCATCAAAACACGGAAAAGCTTGTCTAGCATATGTGGGTTCAAATTTTGACGTGGCAATCGTTCTGAAACAGGTAAAAACAGGCAAATGAAAACATAAGTTGTTTTGAGTTTTATTCTACCGTATATTCAGACATGCTATAAGAACTGAAAATAATTATTTAAGTAGATTTGTTTGTTCTAATATGTCATTTAATTAAATAAATCGAACATCTTCAAAGAAGAATATTACCAACAAATATCCATGATTAGTACATGAATGAGAATGAGTGGGAGGGGGGTTAATCACTTCGACCTTACAGATCCATTGTGTCCCCCTGATTATGATTAGTACATACTAATGGAAAAGTATTAAAAAAATTGGATACTTCAGAAACCATTTTACATAATGTAATTTGAATATTTTCTTTAAAACAATAATTAAATCATATAATTAAAGGAAACTTTAAGATTTGTGTAATCAGTAATCAAGAGTTAACATAAACGATATGATCGAAAAAACGGCGTCAAGTTGGTCCACGAATGACGATCGACGATATTCACTATATAATTTTACATAAAAAATAACAGCAATTTTTTCGATCGTATGGTATTTATAGTCTTCGACGAAAATAAATTTAATATTCGTAGTTAAATATCCATACAATTCACATGCGTTTGGACATATTCGTGTTTTCTAGCGACACGATAACAGAAATGTTCGGTTTTGCCCAAACCATCGGCTGATTTTTGTCTGAAGCCGAAAATATTGTCGAAAGTGCTTTGTGCCGAAGATGGCTGAAGCCAAAGCCGAGGTCAATGATTCGACAGATTCACAGTGTACTTTGTAGTGCATTCTACCGGGTGCGTCTCAAAAGTGGCTCACCCCCTATAACTTTTTTATTTTTTCAGATAAAACAACGAGATTCGGTATTTTAGTATATGACATAAATTAGGATTGATTGACATATTTAATTGTTTTCGGTCACTTCCGGTCTCACCGGAAATTACTACAAATTTTGATTTTTAAATGGCACCCTCTGTATTTTTTTTACTTTATTCGATAGAAAATTACACTTTGAATAAAATGACAACTCATAGTCATCATATGTCAACTTTTGATATTTTCGCATATGGTTTATTTGAACACTATTAAAAATAAGCTGGATAAGATGGGCATAGAGTTAGCTACCAATAAGACTGAAATGGTCATTTTGGCGGGAAGACAGAAGATGAAGGAGGTAGAATTTAGCTGGTGCAATACCAACATTAAAAGCACAAGTGCTGTAAAATACATGGGAGTTTGGCTAGATAAAGACGCTCGGATGACCACCCATATTCGAAAACTTCAGGAAAAAACAGAGGCAATCATAAAGCAGTTATCCAGAGTTATGCCTAATCTGAAGGGACCGGTGGCAGAAAAGAGGAGGACATTGGCCTCGGTGGTGTCTTCCACGATTCTGTATGCGTCTCCCATATGGGAGAGAGCCCTAAAATACAAACTCTACGAAAATATATTAGACTCCATAAATAGTAAAATAGCGCTGAGAGTAACATCGGCATATAGAACATCTCCAACTAAGGCCATCCTGGTCCTAGCCGGTATCCCACCGATAAAGCTCCAAATATAACAAAGAAGTCTAGTGTATAAACATGGAGACCAATTCAGATTTGCGGCCAGAAATATTATACTGGACAAATGGCAGGATGCGTGGTCGCAATATCAAGGATGGGCTAAAACGTTTATTTTAGATGTAACGTTCTGGGTAAACTGCAAGGCAATTAATATAGACCATTTTGTGACACAAGCCATTACCGGACACGGGGTTTTTGGCACCTACCTAAAAAGAATCGGCAAAAGGGACAGCGACACTTGCACTTACTGTAATACTGTGGACAGCCCGGGTCATACAATATTTCTCTGCCCTAGGTGGCAAATGATAAGGGAAGAAACAGAAGAGACGCACCCGGTATGCTTCTGTATGCTTGCTAGATAATAAGCTGCAAAGCTCAAGCTCGGATGAAACCATAGTCCCTGAAAAATTTAATGATATCATAGTGTTTTATTTATCATTCATCATTTAAGGAGAACACGAGATTTAGATTTGAAAAATAAACCTCTAAAGCGATGTATTATTGGAATAATAAAAATATCCACTGTTGCTCTTAAGAATAAGTCAGTTTAGTAGTTGATTCTGTAGTAATTCATTTCTCTTGTACCTAAACTCACTTTTATCGACTCTTGGCATATTTTTAGTCGAAAAAAATATTACTTTTTAAACTTTTTTATTTTAGTTAAGTTCAACATTCAACAGATAATATTATTGTATTTGTTCATTATATATGTATCTTATATAAGTTGGCAATCATTCAAACTCAAACTTGGCTCGCAAAGTCTAAGTGATTTAACTGACTTCAGCAATCAATCGACTGGCTTGTGAAGGATCTGGCGACTAAGGGTGTCCTAAGATTAAGGCAATCCAATTTGTGGAACCAGACCAACTACGGTCACTCGAGGATATTGCCAGTGATAGGAAAAATCATGGCGAACACGAGTCCACATCTCCTAGACCAGAAAACGGACTATATGTTCACCAAATATGATTTTGAAGAAAAGATAAGGATTCGCATCCCGACAAGAGAAGAATGGGAAAGCAACGGATTAATGAACACTCAACAGATATCAGTCAGATGCTTCTGTAACAACACAGATGCTTCCGTAACTTCAGCCAGCTAAGTCCAAGCAGTTGAACCTGCAACTAGAGCATTTCCAATGAAATTGTAATACAGAACCAAGCTCAGCGCTTATTTTATTATTTAATAGAGACATTTTTCGTAAAATAAAAAAATCTTATATTAATTTGTGCAGTATGTTATAGTTAAGCAGGGGGAACTGACTGACAATTTTTTCAGGCAGTTTGGAAACATCAAATACTTCTTTTATGACAGCTAAATACAAATCCAACCCTTGGCTGAAACGTTGTTTGAAATGTTTACCGACCTACAAATTTTCGAAATAAAGATTGTTTTAACAAAATATTCTTGAGGCGCTTAAAAAATACCAAAGCAAGTTTATTTTATCGCATGGTACAAAGAAAACAAGGTGCGCAGGTTGGTTGCTACGTCACAGGTGATAACCATGGTACAAAGAATACAAGGTATGATATTGCACAGGTTGGTCGCTACGTCACAGGTGATAACAGGCGCTATTGGTCAGCACGCTCCGCGCGCCAGTTCAAATCGTCAAGATATTGTTATAAACCTGTTTTTTTGTTTATATACCGTCATTGAATTATCGCTAAGCAAGTTACTGTGGAGCAGTGCATAAGGAGTCGGGCTAGGAAGCGAGAGACCGGAGTTCGAATCTCGGTCGGGACATAACTTTTTATTTATTTTTTTAAATACTGTTGTATTCTATAGTTTATTTTTGTAGGATAAAAAAAGAACTATTTATTCTGTGATTTTTTAATCTCCGGTATTAATATAAATTGATTGTTGGTACAATACCTCATTTAATATAAAATAATATTCTACTTTTTGAAATGTATCGGGCCCTAATTGTACCTAAAAGTAAAATATATTTTTAGTGATATACCATATTGTAAACTATTTAATATTTCAGTCACTTAAAAAGTTAATTTGCATTGAATAATTGCCTACCATTAAAGGAAATTTGAGCTATATAATCCTTGATGGGCATATTCTGGGTATGCAAATACTTCCTTTAAATTTTGGGTGTCGTTCAACCGATTTATTCTCAAAACCAGAAACATCTACATATAAAAAGAAGCACAGGTCACTAATTATAATAAACTTCACCCTTGGTATTACTTCCACTAATTATAATAAACTTCACCCTTAGAATTACTTCTATCACAATTACAATACGTTCATCTGCATTGGCATTTTCTACTTTTCGATGGGAAACAATAAACTTCCCAACATTTTTTAAATGATGTAACAATTTCTCTTGTGGTTACTTTTCCATAGATATCCTCAACTCTGTCCTCATGTGAATTCAGAGGCAATGAAAATGAAAATTATTTACCATAAACATCGCAAACTAAAAACCTAATAAACAATTTTATACCGAATATAGAAATAAATTTAGTATTCTTACCTATCGTCCAAATCCATGTTAATAGATAATTATTATTTTTAAATATATTTTTGGAACTGCTGGTTTTAGTAATTATTAAATTAAACGAACTAAAAAAAAATAAACAATTCTTAACCATAACCCCAAAAAATGCAGATCTCCTGTCAACTTTCTTTATTTTTTATTTATTCATTATTTTCCTAGTGACGTCACAGGTGGTATGCGCGAACTGAACGAAATTGGAGCCGCTATCGATCATACCTTGTATTCTTTGTACCATGGGTGATAACAGGCCATGGTACAAAGAATACAAGGTATGATATTGCGCAGGTTGGTTGCTACGTCACAGGTGATGACAGGCGCTATTGGTCAGCACGCCTCGCGCGCCAGTTCAAATCGTCAAGATATTGTTATAAACTTGTTTTTTTGTTTATATACCGTCATTGAACTATCGCTAAGCAAGTTACTGTGGAGCAGTGCATAAGGAGTCGGGCTAGGAAGCGAGAGACCGGAGTTCGAATCTCGGTCGGGACATAACTTTTTATTTATTTTTTTAAATACTGTTGTATTCTATAGTTTATTTTTGTAGGATAAAAAAAGAGCTATTTATTCTGTGATTTTTTAATCTCCGGTATTAATATAAATTGATTGTTGGTACAATACCTCATTTAATATAAAATAATATTCTACTTTTTGAAATGTATCGGGCCCTAATTGTACCTAAAAGTAAAATATATTTTTAGTGATATACCATATTGTAAACTATTTAATATTTCAGTCACTTAAAAAGTTAATTTGCATTGAATAATTGCCTACCATTAAAGGAAATTTGAGCTATATAATCCTTGATGGGCACCTTCCTCTAAATTTTGGGTTTCGTTCAACCGATTTATTCTCAAAACCTGAAACATCTACATATAAAAAGAAGCACAGGTCACTAATTATAATAAACTTCACCTTCCACTAATTATAATAAACTTCACCCTT